TTTGCTAGAAAACTTAAAGTTCACTACCTGGGTTTGAAATGGGCCCTTCCATATGAGCTCTTCCCAAGTGATGGAATTGGTCTCTTTTACATTCTGGATGGATCACCATATATCTTGAGTTATCTCTTGCTCCTCCAACCTTCCTTTCAGGAATTCAGATAAGTGTAGAGCAGAGAGTAGTGTTTGGACCTTTCTGTAGTGTTATCGTTACTTTTGATATTTTAGGAGTAACCAGCTACAAATTTTTACTTTCATTCTTTCCTTTTGAAGGGTCATTGGAGGTTTCCACATGATAAAGAAATGCAAGGATATGCTTACATTCTGACTCATCCAGGAACACCAACAGTTTTCTATGACCACATTTTCTGTCACTACCATTCTGAAATTAAAGCTCTACTCTCTCTGAGAAACCGGAACAAGCTCAACTGTCGGAGTAGAGTAAGTATCAATAACCAAGTTGTAGGCTTCATTCACTATCGAACTAGATGTCTGTTTCCGTTTTTCTCATATTATCAAAGCATCGATTTGATTTTTCATTTTACAATATAGGTTAAAATTACCAAGGCAGAAAGAGATGTGTACGCAGCCATCATTGATGAAAAGGTTGCTGTAAAAATCGGACCAGGTCACTATGAACCCCCAAGTGGACCTCAAAGATGGTCTATAAGTGCGGAGGGCAGAGACTACAAGGTCTGGGAAGCATCATAACTTTGTCCACAACGATATTATGTAGCTATGAGTATATAAAAGTTGATTGCAGGATGATTCAATAAGGAAGTTCCCATATTTTACATCTAAGCAAATCAAAGGGTGCCAAGATAGAATAATATGTATCTCTCTGGAGGTCTGGCTGAGAACCTTGAATTGAAGTTTTCTTGCCATGCATTTCCGGAGTTCAAGGGATTGTCAAAGTTCAACAGACGATCGGAAAGACCTGCTTTCAGCAATAGAAAATTGCAGCCAGTCGGCTAGGTGTGGAAGTGGTGAGCATGTTTTAGGTTCAAAAGGGCAGTGTTTCCATCATATACACTATTGATATTTATTGTGATTCCTTCTATGCAAAAACATGTTCTGGTGTATATTCCATTAATGTGTAAACAAGTTATTGTTCATTGCTTAATTAATAAAGCAATGTTTTTAACTAAAATTGTTTTAATTGCAAGAAGCTTGTAACTCAAGAGGTTAAGAGTATTTACTCATGTCCATGAGGTCCTAGGTTTGATTCCCTCTTCCCCAATATCGCTTGTATATAAAATATTTTAAAAAACTCATAATGTTTTAATTAGTGCATCACAAAAAAAACTTTTTGTAACGGGAACACAATGACACATGGGTTAACTTACACGTGTCATTGTGTTATTTGCCGGGGATACCAAAAAGTGCTATACCGTTGCATGAGAGTCCCTTTCCATGGACACCGAGACGACTTTAACGGTTTTATTTAAGCTTGTTTATTGTAGTACTTCTTGAAACTTCGGTTCTCATTTTACCCTTTCCTCCCGAAGTTAAAGTGGCCGACTTAACCCTCTTGACTGTGGTTTTGTATTTCACTTTATCCCCCATCATTAACGCTATCCAAAAGATAGTAAAAAATGCTGATGTGGTAGGGTCATTATAGTTAAATCACACATGGTGGCCAATTGCTGAGCATAATTAGCGTCCTACATGGCAAAGTGGACCCCACATGCTTTTAAAATCGAAATCTAAGTAGTTGAGTTCGTAGATTTGGCCAAACAAAGAAGCTTCTAAGTCGAAAATTTTTGGGGATTAGGGTTTGGAGTGTATAATCGAAGAGAGAGAGAGAGAGAGAGAGAGAGAGAGAGAGCGAATAAGGAGCAAATATTGCAGAAGAATCGAAATCTTAGGAGAAGTGCAAATATCTAAGAGACTAAAGAAGACAATGACGGTACCGAGAGAAAAATGAGGTTCTCAACGCGAGTATGGTAAGTGGCCCTTCTATTTTGACATGAAATCAATGAAAGCGAGAGACTTATAGAGTGTGGTCCAGGTTTAAGCTTTTTTATTGTCTGCTTGCTTTGTTGGGTCCAGTCCAAAGGCGTTGAGTTTGAAAAGTCCGGAATTAAATATTATTGTGGTCCCCTATGTCTTGTTGTTATGTTTTCATGTTTACTAGTTGTTTAAAGGTTCTTTTAGTGCTTTAAAAATATTAGTTGCGTGTGAATGTTGCTCCATCTCTGTTTACTGGTAGTTTGGTTGTTGTGTTCTCCTTTTTAAACTATACATGTGGTTAAAGTGTGTTTTTTAGTGTTATGTTGTGCATATGACAAAGGAATAATCAAATTTGAAGTACACCATGGAAGTAGAATGATAAAGTCCCCAAACCTCAATGAGTGATGGTTTTATGTTGGGGGTGGGGGGAATGGGGCGCCGGAGGGGTATGTTGATTATTTGGATTAGTGTCTTGTGAACTACATAAATTTGTTAGTGATATATGGGTGTGCAAAAAAGCTTGGCTACCATGACCAAGTGGTTGCGACAGGGATACAAAATGGTAAGAAAGTGTGTATAGACAGTGATGCTCAGCTACTTTAATGGTGTCATTTGGTGCCTCATAGCTTTGAAAGAGTGATTGTAATTTACTTGGAACACCCTACTGTCATTAATGTGGATGAAACTACAGTGGCTTGGAGGGAGATGGGTCCTAGTTGTTAGATATATGCCCTAGAAGCCAGTATAAAAACGGAATATTCTAAGGATATAATATAATTAAAGGGGTGTGAATGTTACTCTAAGACACATAATGTTACTCAAAGATACATAGTGTACACAAAGTAACAAGTCCAGGGATAAAGATACGAATGGAAAGCAGTCTAAAGAAGTTAGATTCATGAAACCTTTCCATCATAGAAGTATCATATCCTAAAACGTTCCTGGTCATAGGATCACCAATTGGAAAATGGTGAATCGCAAAGACTGGTACATGCTATGTCAATAGGAGGATGACTAGTCTCAAGTCATTCGTGTAAAACCATTGAGACATGTGTGTAGGTGCTCTATAGAGATGGAGTTCACTGAATGCGATCAACTCAAGAATTCTTGTATGGAAGTCTTACTCACAAGTGTCAAACAAAGAATTCTAAAGTGCAATAATGCAAATTAGTCCTTAGACCTGAGACATCACAGTTGTCTTGTGTATGAGCTATTTGGTTTTTAGAACACTATATAGTCGTATCAAAAGGATGTGTCTTAAAGGTGTTCTTGAGGATATTCATCATATGCACAGAGGTATGTGAATGTACAATAAGAAATCTCTACTCTTAGTAAGAAGAGAGAATAATCTAAAAATATGATTTGTTGAATCTTTGGCCAAAGTACTATATAAGAATTGAAACAAAAATGTTTGCAATTGCATCCAAGTAAATTATATAACCTAGAGATGTCACGTTAGAGATTTGACACTAGTTAACCATATCCTAACAACAACAAGACATAGAGTATTGCATTGTTCTCAAAATGAATTCTATTTAGCTTGGGTAGCCATGACATACTGCTAGGTGTCACTCATGGTTTATGGAAGCTCTGTAAGGACTAATTACAGTTAGTTTTTTGCCAATAGGAAGAATTGTATAGAGGTATACGATTTACATTCGGTTTAGAAATAATCATTCTACCCCACAACCTCACTAATAAGAACCTATAAGGTTTCCTTTTTTTTGTTGTTGTTGTAATATTCAAGGTATTTTGTTATTTGGGTTACATAATACATATAGGGCTCGTTCGGTACGTCGGACTGTATTGACTAATTTATGTCTGATAGTATTAATTTGTTCCGGAGAGTACTGACTGTTTATGCATAATATTATAAGGCATTTGGTGCTGTTCTGGATAAATAGTCTGACTAAGTTATACCGTGTTCAGTGCTGTTCCGAATAACATCGGATCATACTATTTTTATAAAAAAATATTCTTTGATAATTTAAGTGGAAATTGAAATTCAAATGACATGATTTTTGTTATTTTTTATTTTTGGTAAGATTCATATGACAAGATTTGTTTTCAATTGTTTTTGCCAAGATTTTTTTTTTTTCATATAACCCATTATCAATTGTTTTGGATGAAAACTAGCACTACTCTGTTTAATACCAATAATCTGTTTTCCTAGCATTCATAGGTTTAATAAAAGGTATGGCAAAGTTAATCTTACCAACACAAAGCTTGCATGATATATACTATATGATTCAAAATAATACGAGGCAGAGAAGTTTGATATAGGATACGCTGGTTAATTCATGTTAGCCAATGAAAAACAGAAACAGTATGCATAAAATGATAAAAAGAAAAAAAAATCGAAGACAAAAAATAAAACAAAACGAATTCTCTCTCTATATATAATATATTATTCTTTTCAATTGTTATCTTAGTTTCTAGTTCTCAACAAAGTGGAAACGTGGAAAATAACAAACAAAAAGCGAAACATGGACAAAGAAATAATTCATAACCTAATTTCCACAAAAATTTAATAAAATATAAAATATATAACGAAGAGAGAAGAAGCATATTGGAGAAAGTATGAAAAAGAGAGAGCGAGAGAGTGAGAGATGGATACCTAGAAAAGAGTGAAGAGAATAACCCGTGGAGAAGAACCCTAGGGAGAAGAAGATGAAAAGAGGGTCTAATTTTTCTCGTAGAACGTGTGTTATTTTTCCTTAGCCGTATAATTAAGCGTGTATTATCTAAACCAAGGTGTGTGGGTTGTATTAGTTAGTCAGGTAAGGAGAGTATTAAATGCCCAATCTGTATAAAATAGTCAGATAATTAAATAATACAAGTTGACACCAAACACCTGACATGACTATTTACTCATATCTAGAGTCTAATATGGTGAACCAAACGAGCCCTTAGTCTTTTGTGCTCAGAGTGTAGGCCGCCTCGGCCTTTGATGGGTGCCACGTGTCGGGGCGCGCATGTAGAGTAGAGCAATTATGGTGCTGGTTGATTTTTCGAGGTGTATCGGTTGCTCACTTTCCCTATAAATAAAAATGACTCCGGATGGAAGAGTCACTTGCGTTTGTGAGTGCGATTTGAGAGTTTTTGCAAAGGCGATTTTCAGCGATCTATCTTGGCAGTATAGGCGATTTCCGGCGATATTGTCACGGTGGAGCGATTTCAGGCAACTTTCGCCGCCGTAATAACAAGGTATTTTTGATCTCTTCAACCCTTTTTCGATTAAGTGCATCCTTATGGCTTGAACGAGACTATGAACATATATGAACACGAAGAACGTTCGGTAGTCTAGTTGCCGTATGGAGCATTAGCTGTAGGAATCCTTAGTTTGATCCTTTTGCATGGCATTTAGTTTCCTTCTCTTTGTTTGTTGATGTTCGATAGTGAGTCTCCGTGTGGTAGTGAACCCAATACGTTCAATGGGGAGTCATCAAACGATCATAGGGATACCGGTAGCGAGGCACTGAGCTTCGACAATGGCAGTAGTGAAGATGGCGAGGTTGAGGTCGTCGGCAAGAGGGTCAACGCCGTATCCTCATTTGGTAGGGGTAAGGTTATGCCCACAGAAAGGGCAGTGCTGTTAGCTGCGGTGCCGTGAAGCGTTGATTGCGCCAGCATGAGCCAATAATGCGAGTTCCTGATAAGGGACATGCGGGTGCCCGATTGGCACGCTAGCTATCAATCGGAGACGTCCACGTCCGCTGTGGGGCCGTTGCTGTCGAATCCTCTTCTCGGCATGTAGTAACGATTGTCTAACAGGGAAACCCTAGGATACTTTTGGGCCAGCCCAAGGAGTTCTTGTTCTGGGTTTTTTTACCTAGAGCCAAACAAGATTACCGAAGTAGAGCTGGCTAAGTACCGTGCTGAATACCGGATTCAGTGAAATGGAGGATTCTGGGGGCCATCGATCTTTGAGCAATGAGAAGGATGATGAAGTCGTCTTCTTCACGAACATCCTGAAGCAAGTGGTTCGGCTGCCGCTGCAGCCTCCTGTTTAGAGGATTATAGACCATATTACAACCCCAACTTCTGGGTGGCTCTGATGAGGGTTATTATCGCCTTAGGGCTTGCCGAAGAGGGGGAGCTGTTGTACGAGTAATTCTTCTACTTATACAGTGTCACTAAGTCCAAGTGCGCTGCGCATGGAGGGTGGGTTCAGGCTAATTGCCTCCGAGCCTTTGAATGTGGCTACTTCGTTATGGATGTGCTGACCTCCCTGAAATCATGGAGGTATAGGCCGGTGCTCTTGTCCAGTGATTGGGAATCGCCTTCGGACAGGCCCATCCGTTTTCACATTCCACAACTTTTCAAACAGTTGGTAGGTAAACTATTTTCCGTTTGGCAGTCTTTTTTCTCTGTTCCTCTAATTGAATCTTATGTGTGTTTCTTTGTTACAGGGAAGTTGAAGCAGCAGATTCCCACAAGGGCTGACATACAAAAAGTTGAGCGAGTGAAGAAGAAGGTACCTGCTGCCGATCGGATTTATTCGGACTTCCTTTTTACTGCGAACTTGATCAAGGCTCGCCTCGTCGACCCAGCAGAGAGTAACTGCTTTTATTACTGTTTGTTCATTCGATATATTTATTTTACTCACCGAATCTTTGATTATGCAGTGATGGATGCTCGGAAGATGTCAGAGACCTCAAAGAGGCGTCTCCTAATGGGGGCCAAGGCCAAGAAGCAACAACAACAGCAGGTGGGCTCTTCAGCCTAGAAGGTCGCGGCTCTCGAGCCGTCAGATACTAATCTAGAGAATCAGACCCTGTCCGAACGGCTAAGGCAGCTAGACGGCTGGAATCGGCCGGTCGAGCAGTTGGTCGCTTCGAATGAGGCTTACTAGCAAGCCAATGGTAAGCGGTCGGTCGTCATTGAGCTGGACCCGGCTCTGAAACCGAAGAAGCCTCGAATGCAGGATCATGAGAGGGCCATTTTTGCTGCCGAAGATGAGGACCAGGCAGCTGATCTGGCCTCCCTGGCCTACCCTCAGAAGATCGTCCAGTTCGCGAACCACTTATCCAAAAGGTAGTTTGGGATCTGGCCTTGCGCTTAACAGTCGGGGCTGCCGAATGATTCCTTCTTTTTGTCTACGTGTCATTCCCTTATTGGTCCGTTAGTTGTGGTATAAACATATAATATGGTCTATTTGAAAACTTCATCATATTACATCAGATGCTGATACATAGTAATGATAGTAAACTATATATATAATTGTATAAAGAATAGGTTCAATAACCAATAATGTATTCATTTAGCTCTAGCCTATCCAGGAACCTAGGTCCTGCGCGCCCTTCTCATGCTACTGAGCAAGATCCAGATCTAGGGCCTCCGCTAGCTCCGCCTGAAGTAACTGTCACTAGGGCGACACCATCTCCTTAAAAGAGAAGAGATCTCTCATAGTTAGTTCTATATCAAATCATTACCAGTCATCTTAGTCAATGATTACTCAGTGATTAAGTGAAAGCCATTATTGTTGTTACAGTTAGTTAAGTGATTGTTAGAATTAGTGGAGTTAGCCTATAACAAGTTGTATAGCTGGCAACTCACCTTTGGTCTTTATATATCTACAGTGTAATAATTATTGTTAATTAATTGAGAGAATATTCATTTCTCGGTATGGAGAGCCTTCTGTCTCATGACTCATCTCTCCTTATTTTCTTTAGCTTTCTTGCTCTTTCTCGCTTCTCAAACCCTCTGATTTCTTCTTTCTCTAACAATTATTGTTAATGAATTGAGAGAATATTCATTTCTTCTAATGGTATCGAAAGCCTTCTGTTTAGCGACTTTTCTCCCCTCATTTTCTTTCATTTTCTCGATCTTTCTTACTTCCGAAACACTCTGATTTCTTCGTTCTCTGTACTTTCATGGTTTCTCCTTCCGATTTTGCGGCCTTTGTCCATCCCACCACTCTGCTCCCTCCTCGGCCTACTGGTTCTCCGCTCTCTCCACAATCTACTGGTCTTACACTCCCTCCTCAACCTACGTTAGCTCTGATAGTCGTGGCGATATCACCTCCTTAGATACCAATTGACAACTTTTATGCTGAACTCAATGCCAAGGGATATAAATTTGTTGAGCCAAAGTATCCACTTGAAGCTAAGCCAGAGTATCCGCCTGAAATAGCCGATGCACCATCCAAAGTCGGGGCTGCGATCAACTTAAAAATACTTATCAATGGCAAAGACCTTAACACGGCCATGGCAGAAGACGCCGCCCAACCCCCAAAGACCCCAAAGACCCCAAAAACCCCAAAGCCCTCAAAGCCCTACCCATAAAACTGAGGATTCTGATGAATGACAAAGATATAGCCCTGGCTATAGCAGAAGCTACAAAGGTTGTGGCAGTTTCCGCTGGCGCAGTCCCGACACCACGATTCAGAAATCCAATGCTTCCAATCGATGTCAACTCAGAAGTCGAGTCCACTGTAGATCTTGTTAAGGAAATGTATAATGAAGTGGTAGCGGCGGCAAATTCTTAAATCACCAGTACAACTACAATTATATTTCAAAAAAAAAAAAAAAAAAAAAAAAAAAAAAAAAAAAAAAAAAAGAGGATTAATGTTACTTATGGAGGAGGCATGTGATGCTATTGTTTCATTGAAAGCCCTGCTGCCCCTGCTGCCGTAATTGATTTCTTCGTTCTCTGTACTTTCATGGCTTCTCCTTTCGATTCTGCGGCCACTGTCCCTCCTTCCACTCCGCTTTCTCCTCAGCCTACTCGTCCGCCGCTCCCTTCTCAATTTACTGGTCCTCCGCTCCCTCCTCAACCTACATTAGCTTCAACAGCCATGGCAACATCATCTCATCGGATACCAATTGACAACTTTTATGCTAAACTCAATGCCAAGGGATATAAATTTGCTGAGCCAGAGCATCCGCCTGAAGTAACTGCTGCACCCTCCAAAGAAGGGGCTACGATCAACCTAAAAATATTTATCAACGACAAAGACCTTAACACGGCCATTGTAGAAGACGTCGCCACAACATCCTAATGCCCCCAAAACCCTCAAAGTCGCACCCATAAAACTGAAGATTCTGATGAATGACATATATAGCCTTAAGCCAGATCATCTGCCTAAAGTAGCCGCTGCACTATCCAAAACCGGGGTTGTGATCAACCTAAAAATACTTATCAACGGCAAAGACCTTAACATAGCCATTGCAGAAGACGTTGCCGCAACCCCTAATGCTCCCAAAGCCCCCAAAACCCTCAAGGCCGCACCCATAAAACTGAAGATTATGATGAATGGCAAAGATCTTGAGCTAGATCATACACTTGAAGCTGAGCTAGAGCATCCGCCTGAAGTAGCTGTTGCACCCTCTAAAGCCGGGGCTGCGATCAACCTAAAAATACTTATTAACGGCAAAGACCTTAACACGACCATTGCAGAAGACATCGTCGCAACACCCTAATGCCCCCCAAAGCCCTCAAAGCCCTCAAAGCCGCACTAATAAAACTGAAAATTCTGATGAATGACAAAGATATAGCCCTGGCTGTGGCAGAAGCTGTAGAGGCCGCGGCAGCTGCCACTGCCGCAGTCTCGACACCATGCTTCAGAAAACTAATGCTTTCAGTTGATGTCGACTCAGAAGTCGAGTCCGCCGTAGATCTTCTTAAGGAGATGTATAATGAAGTGGTAGCAGCGGTAATCCTTAAATCACCAGTACAACTACAAATATTTGATGATTCCTTCATTAAATAATAATAAAAAAAAACAATAATAAGAGGAATTAATGTTATTGGTGGAGGAGGCATGTTATGCCATTTCTTTCATTGAAAGCCCTGCTTCCCCTACCCCTGCAATTGATTTCTTCGTTCTCTGTACTTTCATGGCTTCTCTTTCCGATTTTGGGGCCTTTGTCCCTCCCTCCTCAGCCTACGTTAGCTCCAACAGTTGTGGCGGCATCACCTCCTCGGATCCTAATTGACAGTTTTATGTTGAACTCAATGCCAAGGGATATAAATTTGTTGAGCAAGAGCATCCACCTGAAGCTGAGTCAGAGCATTCGCCTGAAGTAGCCGCTGCACCGTCCAAAGTTGAGGCTACGATCAACCTAAAAATACTTATCAACGGTAAAAACCTTCCCACAACCATTGCAGAAGAAGCCACAGCAACCCCCAAAGCCCTCAAAGCCCAACCCAATAAACTGAAGATTTTGATGAATGACAAAGATATAGCCCTAGCTATGGTAGAAGCTGCAGAGGCTGCGGCAGCCACCACTACCGCGGTCCAAACAACAAGCTTCAGAAAATCAATGCTTCCAGTCGAGTCCGCCGTAGATCTTCTTAAGGAGATGTATAATGACGTGGTAGCAGCAGCAATCCTTAAATCACCAGTACAACTAAAAATATTTGATAATTCTTTCAGGAGAAAGAAAAGAAAAGAAAAGAATAAGAGGAATTAATGTTATTGGTGAAGGAGGCATGTGATGCTGTTGCTTTCATTAAAAGCCCTGTTGCCGCTGCCGCCGCAATTGATTTCTTCGTTCTCTGTACTTTTACGGCTTCTTCTTTCGATTCTGCGGCCTTTGTCCCTCCCTCCACTCCGCTCCCTCCTCAGCCTACGTTAACTCCGACAGCCATGGCGGCATCACCTCCTCGGATCCTAATTGACAACTTTTATGCTGAACTTAATGCCAATGGATATAAATTTGCTGAGCTAGAGCATCCACCTGAAGCTAAGCTAGAGCATCCGCCTAAAGTAGCCGCTGCACCCTCCAAAGCCGGGGTTGCGATCAACCTAAAAATACTTATAAAAGGTAAAGACCTTAACACGGCCATTGCAAAAGACGTCACTGCAACTCTTAATGCCCCCAAAGCCCTCAAAGCCGCACTCATGAAATTGAAGATTGTGATGAATGACAAAGATATAGCCCTGGTTATGGCAGAAGTTGTAGAGGCCGCGGCAGCCGCCACTGCCACAGTCCCGACATCACGCTTCAGAAAACCAATGCTTCTAGTCAATGTCGACCTAGAAGTCGAGTCTGCCACAGATCTTCTTAGGGAAATGTATAATGAAGTGGTAGCGTCGGCAATCCTTAAATCACCAGTACAACTACAAATATCTTATGATTCCTTCAACAAAAAAAGAAATAATCATAGGAATTAATGTTACTAGTGGAAGAGGCATGTGATGCCGTTGCTTTTATTGAAAGCCCTGCTGCCCCAGCCGCAGCAATTGATATCTTCGTTCTCTGTACTTTCATGGCTTCTCCTTCCGATTATGCGACTTATGTCCTTCCCCTACTCCGCTCCCTGCTCAGCCTACTAGTCTTGCGCTCCATCCTCAATCTATTGGTCCTCTGCTCCCTCCGATGAATTGCAAAGATATAGTCCTGGCTATGACAGAAGCTGCAAAAGTCGCGACACCCGCCATCGCCGCAGTCCCGACACCACGCTTCAGAAAATCAATGCTTCCAGTCGTTGTCGACCCAGAAGTCGAGTCCGCCGTAGATCTTCTTAAGGAGATGTATAATAAAGTGGTAGCGGCGGCAATCCTTAAATCACCAATACAACTACAAATATATGATGATTCCTTCAGAAAAAAAGAAAAAGAGGAATTAATGTTATTGGTGAAGGAGCTATGTGATGCCATTGCTTTCATTGAAAACCCGGTTACCCCTGTCGCCGCAATTGATTTCTTCGTTCTCTGTATTTTCATGGCTTCTTCTTCCGATTCTGCGGCTTCTGTCCCTCCCTCCACTCCTCAGCCTACTGATCATTTGCTCCCTCCTCAGTCTACAGGTCCTCCGCTCCCTTCTCAGCCTACGTTCGCTCCGACAGCCGTGGCGGCGTCACCTCCTCGGATCCTAATTAACAGCTTTTATGCTGAACTCAATGCCAAGGCATATAAATTTGCTGAGCCATAGCATCCACTTGAAGCTGAGCCAGAGCATCCACTTGAAGTAGTCGTTGCACCCTCCAAAGCCGAGATTGCGATCAACCTAAAAATACTTATCAACGACAAATACCTTAACACTACCACTGCAGAAGACGCCGCCGCAACCCTCAGAGCCCACAATGCCCCCAAAGCCTCCAAAACCCCTAAAGCCATCAAAATCCCACCCATAAAACTGAAGATTCTAATGAATGGAAAAGATATAGCTTTGGATATGACAGAAGCTACAGAGGACTCGGCAGACACCACCGCCGCAATCTTAACACCATGCTTCAGAAAAACCAATGCTTTCAGTCAATGTCGACCTAGAAGTCAAGTCCACCATAGATTCTAAGATGTATAATGAAGTAGTAGTAGCACCCAAATCACCATACAATCAACCAATACAACTACAAATATATGATAAAAAAAAAAAAAAAAAAAAAAAAAAAAAAAAAAAAAAATAAATAGATTAATGTTACTGGTTGAGGAGGCATGTGATGTTGTTGATTTCATTAAAAGCCTTGCTACCCCTGCTGCCGTAATTGATTTCTTCGTTCTCTGTACTTTCATGGCTTCTCCTTCCGACTCTGCAGCCTCTGTCCCTCCCTCCACTCCGCTCCCTCCTCAGCTTGCTGATCCTCTGCTCCATCCTTAATCTACTGGTCCTCCGCTCCCTCCTCAGCCTACGTTAGCTTCGACAACTGTGGCAGCATTACTTCCTCGGATCCCAATTGACAGCTTTTATGCCAACTTAATGCCGAGGGATATAAATTTGCCAAGCCAGAGCATCCGCCTGAAGTAGCCACTGCACCCTCCAAAGCCGAGGCTGTGATCAACCTAAAAATACTTATCAACGACAGACCTTAACACGGCCATTGTAGAAGACGCCACCACAACCCTGAAACCCCCCAAAACCCTTAAAGCCCTACCCATAAAACTGAAGATTTTGATGAACGGCAAAGATATAGCCCTGGCTATGGCAGAAGCTGCAGAGGCTGCGGCAGCCGCCACCAGCACAATCCCGATACCCCGCTTCAGAAAACCAATGCTTCCAGTCGATGTCGACCCAGAAGTCGAGTCCGTCGTAGATCTTCCTAAGGAGATGTATAATAAAGTAGTAGCAGCGGCAATCCTTAAATCACCTATACAACAACAAATATCTGATGATTCCTTAAAAAAAAAAAAGAATCAAAGGAATTAATGTTACTGGTGGAGGAGGCATATGATGCCGTTACTTTCATTGAAAGCCCTGCTGCCCCTATTGCCCATGCCGCCGCAATAAATACGCTGCTAGGGAGAAGAAATAGGAAGGAAGAAAAGAGAGAGAGAGAGAGAGAGAGAGAGAGAGAGAGAGAGAGAGAGAGAGAGAGAGAGAGAAAGGGGGAAGAAGAAAACTAGAGGGAGAAGAAAAGAGAGGGGTAGGAAGAAGCCGACACAAATTTTAATAAAAAGGAAGATATTTTGTTAGGGTTTTTAAAATATTTTTTAATTTGGTTTAGAAATAATCATTCTACCCTACTAACTAATAAACTAATAAGAAACTCTATTTTCTTGTTTTTTTTTTTTTTTTTTTTTTTTTTTTTTTTTTGGTAGTTTCAATTTTTATTTTGTTATTTTGTTGGTTACATAATACATATAGGGCTCGTTTGGTACGTCGGACTGTATTGACTAATTTATGTCCGATAGTATTAATTTGTTCCGGAGAGTACTGACTGTTTATGAATAATATTATAAGGCATTTGGTGCTGTTCCGGATAAATAGTCTGACTAAGTTATACCGTGTTCAGTGCTGTTCCGAATAACATCGGATCATACTATTTTTATAAAAAAAAATATTCTTTGATAATTTAAGTGGAAATTGAAATTCAAATGACATGAATTTTTTATTTTTTATTTTTGGTAAGATTCATATGACAAGATTTGTTTTCAATTGTTTTTGCCAAGATTTTTTTTTTCATATAACCCATTATCAATTGTTTTGGACGAAAACTAGCACTACTCTGTTTAATACCAATAATATGTTTTCCTAGCATTCATAGGTTTAATAAAAGGTATGGCAAAGTTAATCTTACCAACACAAAGCTTGCATGATATATACTATATGATTCAAAATAATATGAGGAAGAGAAATTTGATATAGGATACGCTAGTTAATTCATGTTAGCCAATGAAAAACAGAAACACTATGCATAAAATGATGAAAAGAAAAAAAAATCGAAGACAAAAAATAAAACAAAACGAATTCTCTCTCTATATATAATATATTATTCTTTTCAATTGTTATCTTAGTTTCTAGTTCTCAACAAAGTGGAAACGTGGAAAATAACAAACAAAAAGCGAAACATGGCCAAAGAAATAATTCATAACCTAATTTCCACAAAAATTTAATAAAATATGAAATATATAACGAAGAGAGAAGAAGCATATTGGAGAAAGTATGAAAAAGAGAGAGAGAGTGAGAGTTGGATACCTATAAAAGAGTGAAGAGAATAACCCGTGGAGAAGAACCCTAGGGAGAAGATGATGAAAAGAGCGTCTAATTTTTCTCGTAGAACGTGTGTTATTTTTCCTTAGCCGTATAATTAAGCGCATATTATCTAAACCGAGGTGTGTGGGTTGTATTAGTTAGTCAAGTAAGGAGAGTATTAAAGGCCTAACCCGTATAAAATAGTCGGATAATTAAATAATACAAGTTGACACCAAACACCTGACATGGACTATTTACTCCTATCCAGAGTCTAATACGGTGTACCAAACGAGCCCTATCAATTATACTAATTAGATTAGTTTAATGAATTAATTAAAGTTATGGAGCTTTAGTTTTGGTCTTATATGACTTAAACATTTATAGGAAAATGGACCTCATAAACTTAGGCAGAGTATGACACATTATAAGATTAATATGATAGATCAAAGTAGCCCAAAAAGACATTATAAGATTAATGTGATAGATCAAATTAACCCAAAAAGGCCAAGGAAGAGGAAGGTACGGTACATAGGGTCTCTACGGGCACATGTGTGACAATATGTCTCTATATAATCATAGTCATAGCACAACACCTCCTTAGGGTTTCAAGTTAGGCATTTAGGAAGAGAGGAAGACATCAAACCTCTTCCTTAGTCTCCCTTGGTCGGCCACCATAGAGGAAGTAAAGGCTAGCACCCATTTTCTCCTCTTGGTTCCTTATTCTCTTATTCTCATACTTTGGAGAGGCATAACCTTACTGTGCCTATTTGGAGAACAAGGTGGAGAATCAACAACTAAGGGACCATTCCCTCTACTTGAATACCATCCTTGGATTCAAGATTCGCTCTAGGGGTAATTAAGATTGGGACCTAAGTTGAGACTTGCATGAATCTCTAGCTATTTTCTTGCTTCCGTTTTATTTGATTTCATATTTGATATGCATAGGCTAGATGATTTGTTCTCTCATATATTTATGGGGTTCTAGAAATCCTTACACCTAATTTTCCCTTCACTATTGCAAGAAACCTAACTGCTGAATTTGAACAAGAAGATGAGAGTGATGAACAATTTGGTTATGAGGGTATGGATGAGGAGGATGAGGATGATGAAGAGGCTATCAATGTGGAGGATGAGGGTTATGAAGAGGCTATAAATGTGAAGGATGAGGGTGATGACATTGTTGTTAATGAGGCTATAAATGAGGAGGCTGAGGGTGATGAAAAGGCTATAAATGAAGAGAGTGAAAATGGCAAAATGGCTGAAAATGAGAATGAAGACACTACTAAAGAAGATGAGAAAGACCCTTAATTTTATGACAGTACTTATGAGCAAAGTGAAGATGAACAATGCTTGCTGAAAAAGGATGATAAATCATTTGACAAATATATGGTTGTGAGTAGCGTTAATAGCTTGGATAATAGCTTATGTGATAAGGTTGATAGGTTTGTGAGAAAAAAGAAGAGGAAACTGCCCAAGTTTAATGATTTTAGGCCTGATATAGATTTGACTAACTTGATCTTTAAGATTAGTATAAGATTTATCAGTGTCTATGTATTTAGGAAAGTGATGATAAACTATTCAGTATTTAACAGAAGGAAAATTAGGTTCTCCAAGGAAGATAAAGATAAGGTTAGAGCAATTTGTGTTGGGATCGAGGATGGAAAATGTATATGATTTGTTTATAATTTAGCTGTAAATGGAAGTAGCATGGTTCAAATTAAGAGTTATGAAGAGGAGCACACATGTGGGATTGTTGAACGCAATGTATATGCTAACTCATCATGGTTAGTAGAGAGATATTCTACACAGTTGTCTAGAATAATAAATTGGGATGTAGGAGCTTTTAAGGATAAGGTGAATGACGATCTATGTGTCATAGCTTCAAGATCACAAATATATATAGTAAGGAAAAAAGCAACTGCTGTAAGTGTGGGGACTTATATAAAATCGTTTGAGTCTCTTTGGGATTATGCTGAGGAGCTAAAAAGGACTAATGTGGGAAATACTATAATCATTAAGTCCAATTTGGAGGGCGACAAATCTAGATTTCATAGGATTTATATATGCTTGGCTGCTACAAAGAAAGGGTTTATTGCTGCTCTGAGTCCAATTGTAGGTTTGGAAGCTTGTCACATCAAAGGGCAACACCCTGTCCAATTACTCTCTGATGTTGGTGTTGATCCTAACAACGACATGTATCTAATAGCTTATGCAGTGGCAGAGGTTGAGAATTATGAAACTTGGATTTGGTTTTTGGAACTCTTAGGTGTTAATCTCGGCATTAAAAATAACAATGGGTATGTGTTCATTACAGATAGACAAAAAGGCTTAATTGATGCAGTGAGTGATATGTTCCCAAACTCTGAGCATATGCATTGTCTTAAACATATACATGCCAATTTTATACTTGCTGGCCACAGAGGATTAATGCTGAAACAACATATAGAGGCTGCAGCAAGAAGTGAAAGTATACCTCGGTTTCAGGCAGAGATGAAAAAGTTCCAAGATTTGTTAGTACAAACTTTTGATTGGTTGGTAAGGCTTGATCCAATGCAATGGTGTAGATCTCAATTTAGAACACACTCAAAGTGTGACATTATCTTGAATAACATAAGTGAGGCATTCAAAAAGTCTATCATTGATGATAGAGACAAACCTATAATAACAATGCTTACGAGGGTCAGGTATTACATCATGTTGTTGATGGCAAGTAGAAGCTATGGAGAAATGGACTCATGATATGGGGCCAAGAGTTTTTACAACTCTTGAGAAGCTTAAGAAGCAGTCAACCTAGTGCATTCCAAGGCTTGCTGAGGAGAGCAAATATGAGGTTAAGTGTTTTAGAGGCACTTAGGTGGTAGTTGATTTGAAAAATAGAATTTTTTCATACATGCAATGGGATCTAACTAAGATCCCATGTAAGCATGCTTATGTTGCCATTGGGCAGTTAAATGGCGATCATATTAGCTATGTTCATGATTATTACAAAAAAGATATCTTTATGAGAGCTTACAAACCCATGGTTCATCTAATGACAAGCTGATATGATCGCTAAAATAAATTTCCCACATTTGCTGCCACCTAAGTATCACAAGTAGTCATGGAGGCAAAAGAGAAACAGGGTTAGCTAAGCTACTGAACCACTTTCAAGCTCTAATCCTAAAGCTAAAAATTTGCGAAGTTATAACTTGGAAACCAAGTGTTCCATATGTAATCAAGTAGGTCATAATATGAGGAAATGTCTAAGGGAAAATGAAGTAGGGAGTAGCAGCCAAGTATATTCAATGTAACTCATTTTAAAAGTTCTGTATGTTCAAATTAAGATATGGATTCATATGTGATGTTTGTTGGTTAGGTACCATCACAAAGGCAAAAGAAGAGAGCCCCTCAAGGCAACAAATCAACTCAAAGAGTTACAAGACAATCAAGGTATAAACAAGCATCATCTTCTACACAATTCAGGCAAAAACAATCACTAAGTTGGGTCTATTTTATTTAAGTAGCATTATGGAACTCTTAATTTGTTTATTTTAGTACCTGCTTATGTTTATCTAACTCTGCCACAATTTTCAAATCATATCAAAGGCTAAAAATAGACCAATCATGACCAAGAATTTTCTCATCCTAACCAAGCTCCTTAACCATCCCCACCAACCAGTTCAACCATCTCAAGCTTCTCAATTTGAACAACCATATCAGTCTCAAGAACCAAATTGGTCTCAGCCTTAAGCATCTCAACCTCCAGAAGCTTCTAAACAAAGGAAAGTTAGGTTTAAGTCTCCAACTAAGAGGAAAGCATTCTCGGCAAAGTTTCAGTCATGTAGATATTGAAAATGCTCTACTCTGTTTTGGTTATCACATGTGCTTTGGGTCAGAAAAAGCATCTGAATATGTTTTGATGGGTTGAATGTTGGTTTTATGTTTTGCTCTATCTTGGTGAACACATGTGATTTTGGGTAGAAACTGTTTGGCATTGCCATAGATATCCCAGGTGCATATTTAGTCTTATTGTATTTTGTTTGAGAATTTCCATGGATTGAATAGGTGCATATCCAGTCTTTTGTATTTTGTTTCGACATTGCCACGGATTGAACATGTGCTTACAAAGTCTTTCTTTTGAGTTATGTATAAGTTATGTACAAGTATTAATCAATGGTAGTTTAAAAGCTTTGAAAGGTTAAAGAATTCTAGGTCTATACAAAAATATTTAGTCTTAACCATTACAAAAGGGCTTTAAAACAATTAAATTTGCAAAATGCTTCAGCCATTACATAAGCTTCTCATCTCACCAAATTGTCATTCTACTAGGTGCATTACACCACATTACATCACATTGCCTAACTTACATTACACCACATTGCCAAACTTTACATTACATAACATTGTCAAACTTCACCCTAAACACAAAGGCCCATGAAACAAACAGAGCAACCCAAAACTTCTTCTCTCTTGCTCTCACATGCACAATTTGATTTTCAACTTCTCTCATTGTCCTCAGTAGCCAAGCCATCAGAGCTCTCTCACGAGGAGGCATTTCAATATCAACTCATACAAAAAACTCACAACTATTTTTTCCCCTTTCCATTCAAACAAAAGTTCCATCACATTTTCACAATTTATTGTCCAAATTTCGATAAAATAGAAAATCCAAAACCTACCCTTGACTTTGGACACACAAAGAACCTTCGAAGTGGGTTCGACTCTATCCAAGAAGTCTATAGCCTTGTAAGCCTCCCAATGAAGTGTAGCAACGACCATCTCTTCTCCTCTTGGAGATTTGTGCCTCATCTTCACACCCTTTAATGGAAGAAAGACGGAGAAATTTTATCTGGGTATAGAACCTTCAATCCTCAAAATGGTGGTAAGTAAGTTTGTTTTGGGGGTTCAGAAACCCTTTTATTGAAAAAGAAGGGAGAGTATTGTAAATTGGGGTCCACTTGACCCCTTGAGCAGCCTAGATTTCGATTTTAAAAGCATGTGGGGTCCACTTTGCCACGTAGGACTCTGACTATGCTCAGCAATTGGCCATTGTGTGTGCTTGTACCATAATGACTTTGCCACGTCAGCATTTTCAACAGTGTTTTGGATGGCATTAACAATGGAGGGTAAAGTGGAACACAAAACCACGGTTAAGGGGGTTAAGTGAGTCACTTTAACTTTGGAGGGGGGGAAATAAAGTGAGATTTGACTGAAGTTTCAGAGAGTGCTACAGTAAATAAGCTTTTTATTTATTTATTTTAATTTAATTTATTATTTTCTTTAAGGAACAAAAATGACTCATTTAATTCGACCTCAACCCTCAATGAGAAATTTTTTATGAGTGTGATGGTCATGTGGTTGTTGGAAAGTTAGGGTGAATTTTAGTAATTTTCCCTTTTCCTGGTTGAATTAGAGTTTGATGGCTAGCGTTTTGATTGAAGTTGTCAACTCAAAATCCATGTCAAAGAACAAAAGAAAGAAGTTACGAATATTTCTAATAGTAAATTGAGCTTAGACCCCATAAAATTCATTTTAAATCACCTACAACCCTTCCCTTTATTTTTCTATTTAAAATACCCAATTTTTTCAAATAATACCCGACGACTAAGATTTAACTAAGCAAGTTACCTAATATAACTTAAAATCTGATTTATTGTATTTTTCAAATTCCAAAACTACCCCTATTTATAAGTTAATGTGTTATGAGGGGTTGATGACGCATTTGAATTTGAAAAGATCTCTAAATGGTTGTAATGAATGTAGGAATTAATTTAGAAACTTATTTGAAATTAAATATTAAATTCAACATTAATGTATTAGTAATCTATAGGTTGTTAACGTTTTGGTTTATTTAATAAAAAAATTATGTTGTTTTCCTTTTATGAATTATACGATTAGTAATCTATTTTATTATAATTTTATGAATAATAGTGTACATTCTAATTATGTTGAAAATAATTTGATAATCTATTTATTCTTTGTTTTTTGAAAAATATTTTTCTCTAAATAATGTACCTATTTTTTTTCTCTCTAATAATGTATATCTAATAAAACAATTTACCTAGTATAATGAACTTAGTTTTTTTTCTTCTAAATAATGTACCTATTTTTAGTTTATAAAAAATGTACAGAAATTTCAATTACAAAGTAATTGATTTTAGTTTATTTTTTATATTTTTTTGGTTAAAAGTATACCTATATATTTTATATATATTATATATATATTTTTTTATTTATTTATTTTTTTTTTTTTTTTTTTTTTTTTTTTTTTTTTGTTTTTTTTGTGGTTTGGTGGTTTTTTAATTGTGGGGGGGAGAGGTTAGAGGGAATGGCAACCAAAAGAAATAGAGTGATGGATATGCCATTAATAGGGAGTTTTAATTACAATTATGACAGTTAATGAAATGCTTGGAATAAATTATAAATAAAACATATGAATAATATGACATCTTATATCATACTAGTCATTTAAGAAATTGGGTTTTACACATAGATATATAAAATGATGAATGTATATGTCTAAGAAATAGAATTTGTAGGGACCTATATTGGACAAGTCCTATTTCTAAAAGTGGGCTCCGCTTTTCACTGTGAACCGTAGCTTGGAAGTGGTTCCCCAAACTTCCCGCCATATCTCCCATCATCACTGGCAAAATCCTCCATAGCTGCCTTAAGTATTTAAACACCCCCACCTTGAAGAATTATCCCAGGCCAAGCAAACCAAAAGATATCCCATTAAACCCATATTGATTCTCTTGTGGGTTCAATCTGTTTGGCTTGGGTTGGTTGCCAAGCTCCAAAGGCTAGCCCTCGAGTTAACCTTGGCCTCGCCCGCCCGCCCAAGTACGTACCAGTTTGTTCTTCGCAAAGGGAAACAAACACTAAACACAAAAACAATGGCAAAATTATTTAGCTCATATTTCCTTCTCTTCTTCTTTTTCTTATCCTCTGCTGCAATTATTGCCAACGCCGAAACTGATCAACCTCAAAAATTAGATGAGTATTGGAAAAAACGAGCTGATCAAGCCGAAAACTACACCATGGAATCTTACGAACCAAATCCGGAGAAAGTCACCGACGAGTTCAATGCTCAAGTTGGCGAGTAGGTCTTCTTCATCAATTAATTTCCTTCATCACAATATACATCGTTTCAATATGCATGCATGTTTCTTTTACATTACATAAATTTTAGTATCAAATTTCGTGGGTTAAATTTTGCATGCATGCAGGCTTATAATGGGGAAAAACGAGACAAGAAGGAACTTGAGGGGTCAAAAGAAATATGTTGGTCCATGCACGGTAACCAACCCAATTGACGCCTGCTGGAGGTGTGACCCTAACTGGGCCAACAACCGCATGAAGATCGTGGACTGTATCCAAGGCTTCGGTCGCAAGACCACCGGGGGTAAAGGCGGCCCTATTTATGTCGTGACTGATCCCTCAGATGGCGACTTGGTAAACCCTAGACCGGGAACCCTGCGTCACGCCGTGATTCAAAAAGGGCCTCTTTGGATCACCTTTGCACGCAACATGGTGATTAGGCTGCAGCAAGAGCTGATGGTGGCTAGTGACAAGACCATTGATGGTAGGGGAGCCAATGTTAACATATTTGACGGTGCTTGCATTACCATCCAGTTTGTGAAGAATGTGATCATCACCAACATTCACATCAAACAAATTAAGGCCAAAGAGGGTGGAATGATCAGAGACTCCGTCGACCATTTCGGTCAGAGGACCAAGAGTGATGGTGATGGCATCTCCATCTATGGCTCCTCCAACATTTGGATTGACCACGTTTCCATGGAAAATTGCACAGATGGGCTCATAGACGTCATCATGGGTTCCACCGGTATCACCATCTCCAATTCCCACTTCACTAAGCACAATGAGGTACGTACAAACCCAAAATTATAATATACTCTCTCCCTCTCTCTCTCTCTCTCTCTCTCTCTCTCTCTCTCTCTCTCTCTATATATATATATATATAGTATATGTGTGTTCGTGGATAGATATATTAAAATTTTGATATGCAGGTGATGTTGTTCGGTGCCAGCAACAGCTACACTCAAGACAAGATGATGCAAATTACTGTGGCCTTCAACCACTTTGGTAAGGGTTTGGTGCAGAGGATGCCAAGGTGCCGGCACGGATTCTTCCACGTGGTGAACAACGACTACACCCACTGGCTCATGTATGCCATTGGTGGCAGCATGAACCCTACCATCATCAGCCAGGGTAACAGGTTCATTGCTGGTTTAAACTCCGCCGCCAAAGAGGTAATTTTTCTTGTATAATATTTGTACCATCTCAACTAATCAACCGCCTTATAAGGCCTTAATTATTTTTCTAATAGCGTTTGCCGCGTGTATTAAAAAAATGGTAGCCTAGATGGTCAGACGAGATAGTTAGTTAATGATTGGTTGTGACTAAATATATGATTAGGTGACGAAGAGGGAGTATACGGCAGAAGCGGAGTGGAAGAATTGGCTTTGGAAATCTGAGGGAGATTTGTTTATGAATGGAGCATTCTTTGTTGAATCTGGAAGCCCAGCCAATTTGCGCGCAGACAAGCTTGATATGATTCCCTTCAAGCCCGGCAGCTACGTCACGAAATTGACTAAGTTTGCCGGCGCTCTTGACTGCTTTGTGGGCAAACCATGTTAGACAGAGAGCTTTAATTTTTCCAGTTGTACATTCCTGCGTGCAAGAAAATGTCGACGACGGAGGATGAGAAAGAAGCCTACTCTTCTGTCTTCACCGACAGAAGAAAAAGAGAAGAGTTGTATTCTGTTATACTAAACGTTACTCTTTTTTTTCTTTTGGTTTGTTTGGGAAACACACTTACGCATATTTTCTTAAATTAGAATGTATCTTTAGAACTACAAATTAAGAACACGCACGTGCTATTTTTTGAAATTTAAATAATTTCAGCTTAACTGACAAGTGTTTTAAAATAGCATCTGGAATGATCGCACTGACCAAAACTACTTCTTAACTAAAGGAGAGTGCCAGGATTGCGTGAATGAAGGTGCAGAGTCAGCTAGCATACAAGTATCAATCCTTACCCCCAACCAATAATTATGCATCCGTTCTTGTCTAATTTTTACTATTATTATTCATTACTTTTACAAGGAGTCTGGTATACATTAATCGCAACAAGAATAAGAATTCACTAAATAGTCAACAATAATAAATTTAAATATATATTTTTTTTAAATATAAGTGATGGTCTAAACTACTCTAAATTAATCTAATTTATGGAAGATGACTCGAATGAACTCTTTTAAGAACCCTACAAAATCAATGGTGGTCAATTGGAGAACACCAGCGTGGCGTTGGTCAAGTGCCCGCTACTAGAAAAAGTGTCATTACCCACTGATTATCTAGATAAAAATACATAAAAGAAGATTTTGATTTTTTTTTTAGAAACTAATTCTCCCACCATACCTATTAAAAGTATTTGGGATAGACACTAGAAATAAAGTGATTTTCATTTTCTTCCTTTCATATTTGGCCCTTTTATCAATCTCAATTTGTCAAACAAACTCGGCTCCACTCACAAATCAGCCAAACAAGCTTGGCTGGCTCCCCCATTTTGTTTGCAAACTGGCTTGCCTCCCCTTCACTCAGCCGCCTTTGCGTTTTGCCTTCAATTGGATACTGACTTCTTTTTCTAGTCTCTTCCGTTTATTAACTTTTTTACTACAGAAACTAATGTTTAATAGTGAAACATTAGAACTATGAAAAACCTTATTGACAGCATAGGTATACTACTATTTCCTGCTGATTCAAAATACGAAATTCCAAATAGGCGGGAGAATGTCTCTATAAAACAGAGAACTTTTAGTTTGGTATGAACAAACGGAACTCGATTCTCTGTATTTAGATTTTGTGCATTTACCCGCATTTAGTTTAATCTCAACAATTACAATAATTGAATGGTTAAAATTATAGCCACATACCTTAATTTTAGTTGATGTTTTTTTTATCAAAACTGATGGCTAACTCCATTACTTTACGACTTTTACCAGTACTTTGGCTCCCAATCCATCACCACACAATTGCATTCGTTCTTTTTTAATCGTCTGAGAAGTTTAATTCATTGGATTTGTGAGCTCGGACCATCATATGTCTGGATAAAATTTGGTGTCGTTGGCTTTGTTTACTTGAAGTTGGGGGTTGGGTTCAACCAATTTTGATTTAATCCCAACTTCCCCATCTGTTTTCCAAATTATTTTTCAGCAGATTTTGTGTTTTAAAAAAAATTCAGATTTGAGTGTCCCACCTCCATATATTAGCTTGTTGGGTTTAAGCATTGTGTCTCATTCTTTCTCCTTTTTGTCATTGTTGAAGGTTTCTGGTCATTTTCGACCAAAAAACAAAAAGAGTTATGGGCACATGTGGAAACTAAAATACGAGGGTTGTGCAATGGGTTAATCAATTGCCTATTTTCCTGCTAGAAACATAGTTAATAGTCCATGTTTTCCTGTAAGTCGGAGGGAAAAAAAGCAAAGAAACCAGCAACAATTGAAGAAGAAGAGGACAAGCAGAAAAACATTAACATCGTAAATAACATTAAAGTTAAGATGTGGCTTGACTTTTAATCATTGTATTATTGTGATGGTTGAGATTAAACTAAATGTGGGTAAATGCACGAAACCTAAATGCAAAGGCTTGAGATTATGAACAGACATGAACCATTTCCTCTACAAGATAATTTTCTTGTTGTTGGTCAGTCTTTAGAGCAACTCCACCCATTTTCCATTTGCTATGGCAAGGGGGAGCTAGGGCAGCTACTATTCATGTGAATATTGGTTGCCCTTACAAAAAGCAATATTTTAATTTGGATAATATTTTCGGATAAGATTTTCGGTTTCAAATTTTAGATAAATTTCAAAAAAAATTGGCTGGTATTTATAGAAAACAATTCATTAATTTTTGGGTATTTTTAAAAAAAATTTCTGAATTTTTTTCAATATTTTATCGCAAAAAAATTGGCTGCCCTTGGATTGGAGGAAAAAATCTGATCAAAGAGCCCAGACGATGCCACGTGGCAACAGTAAAAAAAATTCAAATGAGTGGGCAGACACCAGCCTGACGTTAACGATGACATCAGCCCAAAACTCGGGCTCGCGCTCTGGCTGAACTCCCCCTCGAGCCAGCCCAGGCTCGTGGCCCCCACCTCCTGCCCGGGCGACAAAGGCCAGCTGGAACTGGGTTTTTCGCGCAGCCCCCCCCCCTACCCAAGCCTCGGGCTTGGACTCCTCGGTGGAATCGCTCTTATGAAAGATCTAATGAGGGACCTCCCTAAATTATAATTATTAGGAGTCTATGTTTCAATTTGTTTCTCTTTTTACACAATTATTTGACCTAAGGAATATTTAATTTTTCATGTCTCACCATCTGAATAGTTGTCGAAAATTCATGTTTCTACAAATGCCCCCTAACTTCTACATGACTCGTGTATGGCATGTAGGAGATGTGAAATACTTGTTAGGCTTTTTAATTTCCAATTGCAGTTGAGCTCCCTTTGTGTGTTGAATTTGATTCCTTCTTAGAGTTGGGCTCCTAGTCAAGAAAGATTTTTGGGATTCCTTCTTGGCTAAGAAATCCCAATGGTTATAAATAAATAAAAAACCCAAACTCCTCCCTTTGTTTTGCACTTGCTATTTTTTTCTTCTACTTTCTGACTTGCGGCGAGGAGAAGAATTTGGAGGAGTTGATCTTTGCATGTTGAGGAGATAACCCAAGAGAGTCGATCCCCCCGAGGTAGGCCACGACTTCGGCCAATTTTTTTGTTTTCTTCATGGCGTCGGCCAGCTGGTTGATTCGGCTAAACCATGGCCAGCCAGCTGGCTTGCGATGGAACCTTGACAGATTGCGGGACCAGCCGTGAGGCTGCTGGTAGTTGCCTTTTTTTGTTGTTGGAACAGAGACGATGCCTTGGCTGGTTCCGTTGAGTCGAGCCGAGTTGTGAGTCAAAAGGCTTGGTTGCACTCACGCTAGCTCAGGATGTGTTGGTGATGAACAAAAGTTATATTTCGCAAGTGCACGAATCGATATGATAGTATAGCAAGCAAATATGAGAGTCGTTCCCACAGAGATTTGTAAAGTTTATCAATTAATTCCAAATAAGAATACCTTAAGAAAAATAGAAAACAAAAATGAAATATAAAAATACTAAAATAGCCCAAAATTACTCAATTTTAATCTAAGTGTTGAGAATGAAGGCAATAAAATAAAATAACAAATGCTGAAAATTGGTTTTGAAAATCAATGGATGAATACTAGTACTTCGACTTCACCATAACAATTCTATTCTATGTATCAAGTTAATTTTGATAATAAAGTTCCAATTCAATTCCTAGGGTTCGTTCTTTCTTTATTATGATGATTAGTTCGGCCGCAGTGTCACTAAGTATTCTCAATTAAACATGACTAATGAACCCCATAGCCAAATCTAATCAAGAACCCATTAAGTTCAAGAAGAACAATCAAGAACCAAGAATTGTCTTAGCTTGAACCCCGTCTTTAACAAAAAAAACTCATTCATTCGTAGTGCACATAAGATTAGGGATGAACTCCTCACCCAATCTTATCTTAGACAATCCAAAATACCTATAATGGCCAATTACAAGTATCAAGATCACAATTATAATAATGAATGAAACAACGAATATAATTTGATTAAAAATAAGAAATTAACTCAATAACATAGAATCATCATGTTAGGTTACATCGGATCCCTAGGAAACAAACAATATATTTATGAACGTAAAATACGAATATATTTATGAACATAAAATACGAATATATTTATGAACATAAAATACGAAGTTTGAATTAAGATAGAAAAAACTCTTAGATGAATCCACTGCAGTTGAACTCCTCCTCTAGCAAATCTTGAAGGCTATAAACAGCTAAGAAAGTAAATATGTGTGAGTTGGTACTTTTTCTCCCCGCCCTTGAACAATATGCTAAGCCCTCTTATATACTTCCCACACCCAAAAACAATAGGAAAAGAATTAATTAAAAAACCTAACCTAACTTGGTCAACAAAACCTTATTGAAGAAGGTAAGGAAAATTAAATAGATAACCTAAACTAATTAAATTCCTAAAGCCACTTGGAGAAAACCCATATGCCAGCTTGCACTCCAACGCCTCCATCACGTCAACTCACATCTTAGCCCATACAAAAGAACTTCCTTATTTTGCTACAGCACATCCACATCTTGTTGGAAATGCAATTGACAAACAAATCATATGTAATTGGCATTCCACTTTGCGAAAACCGACCGCCTTTAGCAATTGCCAAACAAGATCTGCTATTTGATTATTCTCATTCTTTGCTCATTTTCACCATATTTTGCTCCGTTTAGCTCCAAATCACCTTTAGGGTCGATTTCCTACAAAACTAACACTAAACACATCAAAAAAACCAATTTCTCTTGCTACAAATTAGGGTCTTGCGGTTTTGATTTGTGAATTGCCTTGTGATTCTAACCAGCTTCTTCCTTTTTGTAGTTGCTCAGCTACCATGTCTTCTGACAAAGGAAGTTGATCATCTGCTTCACAAGAGCCTTTGTATTTGCTTGGGGTTCTTCTATAAATAAAAACTAATTTTTATAAGTAAAACCCAATTACTAAGATCCAACTCAGCTAGTTACCTAATCAAGTTTAAAATAGGATACATGATGGATTGTAGGTATGACTACATAGATACATGATGGATATGCAAGGGATATAGGAGGGGTTATTTTGTATTTTCTTTTCCAAGAACAATGGCGTGAGGGCAATTTTTTCTAGAAAACAAAAAAAGGGCGTTCGAGCTAGCTTGACCCTTTGAGGGTCCTTGCTATGGGTTCAATGAAGCCCGAATACCTATTTAGGCAATTAAAATATTTAATTAATAAAATAGCTCAACCACAAATATTTAATCAAAAACCCTGGACCCCGGCCTCAAAAGTGCATGTACATAACTTATGAAGGTTCCTAAGTCCATTTTCAACATTTCTGACAGGTAGAATGGTCTGAAAAGACGAGATTAAATAAGCAATTAAATTCCCATAATGGGTAATCATGTACCCATGGGGTCCACGACCTCTGATTTCCAATCCAAGAGTTCCTACAGGTTCAACACACTTTACTAAACACGCCCTACAAGTTTGGTCCGAATCGAACGGTCAGATTGCTCACGATCGCATTATTTATGACTATTGCTTTCCAAGCATAAATATTTGAATTCAAAATATTTTTGTTAGATTTTGTTTATGTTTAAAATGTAAATGGCTTGGAAAGTAGCAAAGGAATTGATAACTGGACTAAAGGATTTGTTGAGAAATAGAACTATAATTTTTCCATGAAAGTTGTTTTTAAACCACCATAGGTACCCAAGATGTTGCCTTCGGATAATATGTTTCCTTTGGATAATTTGTTGCCTTCGGTTATAATGATGTCCACAAACATCTTAGTTGCCTTCGGTTGAGTCAGTGCGCGTTTGACAGTTGACCCACGAGTCTTAGAGATATCCGAACCGTGAGGAGCGAGGATGCGGCTCAGGTTGACCAAGTGTCCCCTGAGTCTTGCGAGGAATGCGGCTCGGGTGACTTTGTGTCATCGAGGCCTATGAGGATGTGTCGCATTATGTGACACAAGAAATTGATGGTATAATGTGGGAAATGAATATAAAGATCATGGAATTGACAGATATATGATGGGTACACCTAGGTGGAAGGAAATTATCTCTTTTCAATGCTTTCAAAAGGTTTTTATGATTTGATTGAATGCATGATTAATTATATGTATATATATACATGTCTTTATTCTTGTACGAATATAGAACATGAATATAATTGAATTTTCTGAAGGTTTTAACAGTGGGGTAAGTATGTTAATATTCTATTTTCCAAAACTTTATTTTGTCTACTCACACTTTTAAATGTTTTGCGCCCCCAAGTAGTAGACGTGAATCAAAGCACCACCATCGGACGATCATCATTACTTTTCTTCCTTTTCTCTATGTAGGATATTATGCTGTGATCTTGTTATTTCATTGTAAATATCTGAATTAGTTTGCTCTGAAATTACTCTAGGATTTCTGTAAGGCCTAAGAACATAAAGATTTGTTGTTTGGTTGCATGAATCCTACTTTTGTACATGCTGAACGGTTGTGGTTATTCAAATTACTTGTTGTACATGTGAAATTTTTTGGGAAATGAGTATTTACAGGGGAGCCTCTGCCGAATTTTCAGCAGAAGTCAAACTTGAAGTTATTTTTTATTTTTGGTTAGACGGGCAATTTGGTCAAAAGTGTTCGGCACCTGCCAGGTGTTGGGCACGCACAGGATTCGGTGTAGATTCCAAAGTGGAATTTTGGTCGGGTCCTGTCAAAAATGGCCAATACAAACTAGCCACAAAGAGCCATTATAATAACATAGTGATCTAATATCAAAATTAAGACAATCTAGTACACCTCCATTAACGATCACATAGGATCCAAAAAACTCTGGCATAGGCATCCCGACTAAGATTGCAAACTTAGAATAATCAAAAAGAGATCAAGTTTGAAAAAACTAAGCCATAACAATACAAATAAAACTCTCACAAAGGAGATGTGAAATGCTCTCACAAAATGAGAGGTGAAAACTACACAGAGAACCCAAAGAGTCTCTGTAACTTATTCCAACATTAAAAAAAACTACAAAATGGATGGTGGTGGAGATTTGACACCGAAACGCAGGTGCAGATTCGACGTTGAGACGCAGCCACCTGTGATGGTTGGAGGAAAATCATAAATAAAATAAAAAAAGAAGACATATAGGGAAAATCTTATGTCTCTGAAAATGGGGAAGAGCAGAAAGGAGGAACCTTCCTCCTGAAAATGACTCTAGGAGTATTTTTTTGAGAGAGAGGGACTAGAGTTTGTCGTCGACAAGCCCTTCAAGTGGGAAATTTTGCATGCCAAGTTAAACAATCTCAATTCAAGGTTCTTGGCTCTAAACGTTTATGGCGTATCCCTTTTTTGTTTTTTTTGATACAATGTTGGCATCCTTTGAATGATTATTTGAACGTAAAATTAATAAGGGGAACTAAATTTACCGAACAATATATGGCAGCGAGAAGTATGTTTTTCTCTATAATCTACCATGATGACAGCCAAAACAGATCCTTAGAAGCAAATTCAAATTAATTAATCATGCTTCTAGCATGCAATATTTCTCCTTTCAAACCCTTTTTATTTCAATTAAATTTCAAGTTTTCAACTAATAAAAATAAGAAATAATTAATACATACTTTATTTACTACCATGTACATGTGTAAGCCTTTCATTTTCAAAACGAAGAGACATTGACTTGGTGAAAAGGGGGGAACTTTAAGGAAAACAAAAAGTCCCGAGGTTTGATATTCTTTGTGTTGTGCGGATAATTCTGACAACCACACAGATATATTTGACTCTTTTATTTTCCATGCATGGTCTTGTGTACAAGAAAGAACATTTCAAAAGGCGTGGGATTGGTTCCCCACACTTCCCGCCATATGTTAAAAATAGAGGCTTAATTAGCTGCATGCATGCATGCCTTATTTAAGCGAGTCTTATCTTATATTATGAGACACCCCCCTCCTCTCCCCAAGACAAAGCAATTGATGAGCCGGTGATTCTCTAGTGCCCGATTCAATCTGTTGCCTTGGCTTGGCTGGGTCTCGATCTATCGAGAGCAACCTGGGCCTCGCTCAAGTACAGTTTGCTCGTTGCAAGGGGTGGGGGACTGCAAAACAAGAAAATAATATATAGGGAAGATTAGATCATCAAACCAGTAGTTAATCTCACTGCGGGTGCATGAGATAACAATGGCAACAATTAACAAATCGTATTTCTTTCTCTGCTTCTTTTTCTTGTCCTTTGCTCTAGTTATTGCCAGCGGAACTGATCAACAGGAAGTACAGTTAGATGCCTACTGGAAACAACGAGCCGAAGAAGCCGAAAAAGTGGCCATGCAATCTTTTCAAACAGATCCTGAGCTAGTCACCGAGGAGTTCAATTCTAATGTTGGCGAGTAGGTCTAATTATCTTGTAAATCTAGATCATTAATTGGTCAACACTTAACACTTGCTTGATTATGTGGTACATACATATTTATACATATATTTTTATATGAATTAATGCATGTGAATGCATGTTTTTGTTACCGCTGACATTAGATAGATGCATATATGCAGGCTTTTGATGAAGCTAAATGGCACAAGAAGGAACTTGAGGGGCCTCAAGAAGTACAAGGGTCCATGCATGGCCACCAACCCAATTGATGCATGCTGGAGGTGTGACAAAAACTGGGCCAACAACCGCAAGAGGCTCGCCAACTGCGTCCAAGGCTTCGGCAGAAAGACCACCGGCGGCAAGGCCGGCCCTATTTATGTGGTGACTGATCCCTCTGACTTGGACTTGGTAAACCCTAAACCTGGAACCCTGCGTCACGCAGTGATTCAGAAAGGGCCTCTTTGGATCATCTTTGCACGCAGCATGGTGATTAGGCTGCAGCAAGAGCTGATTGTGACTAGTGACAAGACCATTGATGGTAGGGGAGCCAACGTTAACATACACGACGGCGCTGGCATTACCCTCCAGTTTGTGAAGAATGTGATCATCACCAACCTTCACATCAAAAAGATTGTGCCGAAAGGAGGTGGCATGATCAGAGACTCCGTCGACCATTTGGGCCAGAGGACCAGGAGTGATGGCGATGGCATCTCCATCTTTGGCTCCTCCAACGTTTGGATTGACCACGTTTCCATGGAAAATTGCGCAGATGGGCTCATAGACGCTATCATGGGTTCCACAGCTATCACCATCTCCAACTCCCACTTCACTCACCACAATGACGTGCGTACTGTACTTAATTTATTTATTAAGCTCAACCAACTAAATACAGAGGTTTGGAATCCATTATAATAATGTCACATGCATGTATGGATGCAGGTGATGTTGTTCGGTGCCAGCAACAGCTACGCTCAAGACAAGATCATGCAAATCACGGTGGCCTTCAACCACTTTGGTCAGGGATTGGTGCAGAGGATGCCAAGGTGCCGGCACGGATTCTTCCATGTGGTGAACAACGACTACACCCACTGGCTCATGTATGCCATCGGCGGCAGCATGAACCCTACCATCATCAGCCAGGGTAACAGGTTCATTGCTCCTCCAAATCAAGGCGCCAAAGAGGTAACTAATATTTTCTATTAAATTAATATTACTTAAGTACTACAATTTTATCTATTTTAAAAGATGAGTTTAGCAAAGTAGTCAATAAATATGATTCAAATAGCAACGAGATTATATATATGTGCCATTGTTGGATTCTGAATTCCAAATTATATAGGTGACCAAGAGGGACCACACACCAGAGGCAGAGTGGAAGAAATGGGAATGGAGATCAGAGGGAGATTTGATGATGAATGGAGCAATCTTTGTTCAATCTGGATCCGGAAAGAGCAATCACCCAGCAAAGATGGATTTGATGCCCTTCAAGCCGGGAACCTATGTCGCAGAGCTCACAAAGTTTGCCGGTGCTCTTGACTGCTCTGTTGGCAAACCTTGCTAGGCATTTTTCCCATTTTTTTCTGCCACCATGGACTTGTTTTTTTGTTTGCAAACGCAAATAGTACAAAACGGCCCAATCCGTATGTATTTGTACTTGAGGGTAGAAGAAGATTACTTAGGCCGTGTGTGCGTGAGGGTGGAAATCAAATGTTGCCAATGTTTTTGCTGTCCTTGTTACATTACATGTCCCTATTTTTCTCAATTACTTTCTTCTTCTTTTTTGGGTTGTTTGGGAAAAATGGATTTAAAGAAGAATAAAAATAAAATAAAAAGGGACGAAGGTTTAATAATGATGCAAAACAAAAAGGGAGATGATGCAAATGTGTATGCTCTATTACACTCGAGTACAAATCATCTTTTCAAAATAGTTCAGAATATCGCTATTGTAAAAATAAAATTTAAATTTAAAAAATAAAAATAAAAAAAAAGAAGAAGAAGAAGAGGATTGATTAAGAAGTGTTAACATTTAATGAAGATCAAGAATGACGAATTCATCTTAAAGTGCCAATTAATTAACATGAGTCTGGAAGCATCAGAAGGTTCGAACCCATGTATAGGGATTAACGTGGTGCATGGAAAGCAACTCCACACATTTTAATCACCTACAAATCTACCAATAGGAAATGGACACGTTTGCCATTCATACAAGTGGACATATCAAACAAATTCAAGTCTTAAATATTGGACGGGAAAACCGAAGGTAAAAGCACAACAACACAAAAGTTGCATATCATCTGTTGTCGTATAGCCACACAAACGACAGGTTTGTTAATGCAACTCCTTATCCCAGAAAACAAAACATAAGGCATTTGGGATATTATTTCATCTCGAAGCCAAAATCAATTTGTCTTGTGTGCTGCTTGTCCACTATGATCCGCCAAAATTATCAGTATTTGTCCCCTTTTCTTTTTTTTTTTAATAATTTAAGAAAAAAAAAAGATTTGGGATTTAAGAAAAACAACCAATAAAGGCAAAAGATTTAACATGAATTAATATATATTTTGTCACACAAATCGAATTTGACATGGTCAGCCTTAGCGTCTTCTCTTGAATGGCCTGAATGTTTTAATATGTCAAATTAGTTTGTGTGCCTAGATTATGACGAAGAGTTACCAATGAAATTAATCTATCCAAAAAAAAAAAAAAAAAAAAAAAAAAAAGAAAAAAAAAAAAAAAAGGACGGTGTGAAAGTGTCAATTCTGCCTAAACCAGTACATGGATAATGGAGTTAAAGAAAGAATTTTTGTGATGCTCAAATCAGACCCTGAAGTCGGCCAGAGTTCCTGTTAGCATGCAGACACTCATATTTGTCTCAAATGGCACCGAACTCATCGAAACTCAGAAACAAACTAAGCATAAAACAAGTAATGGAACATGTATATAAGCACTTGCATTCAGTTTTCCAACAGCAAACCACTTGAAACCAATTGTCTTTTGTTGTTTGGTATTGACATAGGAAAAGATAGAGATATGGATCATCTGACTAGTGTAAAATCTGAACTGAGCCAAGGAAGGCGTCCATTGTGCCTTATAGAAGTTGATGCTTTGGTTAACAAGTGTGTCAAGAGACGGCGCAGAGATTCGTCTGCTGTTGTTGCACCTGCAGGCTGCAGTGATCAACAGCAAGGTGATCAAAGACCACAACAGCAGGCGCAGCAGGCTGGTCAATCTACCGTTGCTACGACTACAACTGTGAAGAGAAGTTCCAGATTTCGCGGAGTCAGCAGGTCTGATATCTTGTGTTCATGTTGACAATTTGCTTATTTTTTGGTTTTGTTAAAATGTTTTAGCTTAATTTTGAGCAATTATATATGCAGGCATCGATGGACAGGAAGATATGAAGCTCATTTATGGGATAAAGGGTCTTGGAACCCAACACAAAGGAAGAAGGGAAAGCAAGGTAGATAAACATATAAATCACTTGTTCCATTTGTTCACTTTTTTCACTTTTCTTAATCTTGTGTATCACTTACATGGTCTTCTTTTTCTTTCTGGTTCTGCATTGGATTTGATTAATTGCTTGGATGGAGCAGTTTACCTTGGTAAGTAGTTGCATGACAGATTAAAACCACCCACTTCGGTCTCATTTTAGAGAGAAGCTGACATTTTTTTCTGAAAAATCCAACAGGGGCTTATGATGAAGAAGAATCTGCTGCAAGAGCTTATGATTTGGCAGCACTGAAGTACTGGGGAACATCAACTTTTACCAATTTTCCGGTATGATTATCAGACATGATGACTTGAAAGTTCTGTGCTTTTCAGAGGAATGAATGAAACTGATCAATATCTTCTAAAACTTGTCCTATATTTTACTTTTCAGGTGCCTGATTATGAGAATGAAATTGAGATAATGAACACATTATCCAAGGAAGAATATTTAGCCTCTCTGAGAAGGTAAATTTCATCTCCTGATGAGCCCACATCTTCAAAACTTTTCTGTAAAAAGTTCACATCAATGATCCCATTTTGTTTTGTTTATAGAAGGAGCAGTGGCTTTTCAAGAGGTGTATCCAAATACAGAGGAGTTGCAAGGTAAACAACTTAAATATTTGACCTTTACAAGTTTAAACAATTCATTCCAAATTTCTAAGGCTGAATTGTTGTGGGAACTGCAGGCACCATCACAATGGGAGATGGGAAGCAAGGATAGGGAGAGTGTTTGGAAACAAATACCTCTACCTTGGCACTTACGGTGAGTTTCAATTCAAGCTCTTTAAATCTGTTTGCTCCTTCTGCTGCTGAGTGAGAAAACCTTATGAGGCTTCTTTCATTTCATCACAGGCACCCAGGAAGAGGCTGCCCATGCCTATGACATTGCAGCAATAGAATACAGAGGCATAAATGCAGTGACCAACTTTGACTTGAGCACATACATCAGATGGCTGAGACCAGGAGCCAATTCTCTTGGTTCTCAGGAACCAAAACTAATACAGAGTCTCTGCCCATACCAGCCTCCTCTAACAGCATCCCAAGCAAGGAAGGAAAACAGATGTCCATGTTCCAACCCAACTCTTTCCCAGTAGATGACATAGACACCTCAAGAAATCGCAACAATTTCCAAAGGCAGCAGAAGCAGCCTATGCCCATCAGCCCTTGCACCAAGTCATCATCTTCCCCAACAGCACTTGGCCTCCTTCTTCAATCCTCAGTATTTAAAGAGCTGGTGGAAAAGAATTTAAATGGAGATAATGAAGAAAGTGAGAAGAACGACATAAGGAACCTTCTTCCAGTGCAGACAAACAGTGACAATCTTAAGAGGATCTTGTACAATGGAATGCACAATAACCCTTTCACATGTCCTTCCAACACCAGTGTTTTGCCTGCTTTAGAGTCGCAGGAGGAGAGCATATTGCCCTTGTGCAATTCGAGGGGGCAGTCAATTTGGAATGGTGCCATAAACATGTTTTCTTCCCCTGACTTTAACTAAATTAACTTTAGTTTAGTTTAATTACTTGTAAGCTCCAGCTAGATCCTTCTGTTTTCTCTTCTTCTTCTTCTTCTGACTCTTAGAGGTAGTTTGATGTAAATAAATCCTAAGATTTCCATGTGATGCAGAGGCAATTGGAATAAAATATAAAATAAAGGGACCAGTTCATTAGTGGTTACATTTAATCTCATGTATGACAAGTGTAAGACCAGCCAATTGGGTTGGGGTAAATATACGACTTCAAATCTCTTTTTCATTTTCCTTTTTCCTGGTGAGAATGGCAAAAGAGCTTGTGCCCTAGAAAACAAATATAATGGCATACCCTTTCATAAAGAGAAAACGATTTGATTCTACGGGTTCTAGTTTACTCCACTGATCACCTCTATGGGACAGAGCTTCCTTCTTCCCTTGTCGTCTGTATGTTTCAACTTCACACTTTTTTTATATACATGTGTAAGAACTTGTGGCTATTTATGGCCTTCTAACACTTGTTCTGCCATTCCAAAGTGGGTGGGAGATTTTTTGAGTTGAATGACTGGAAAGACTTAAGATGACAGAAACTAGAGATTTTGAAGAAAAAGGGTTACCAAGAATACAAGTCATGTCCTAATTCTCAGAAGGAAAAGAATGTAAATAATTGATTTTTATTCAAACAGAAACTAAAAAATTAATCTTTTCAAAGATTAAAAGTCTTATTTTTTGTGAAGTATCATCGGATGGTACAGTAGAACTCTAGCTCCATGCGGAAATTGAAAGAGAACTTATTCCGAATCTTTCATATTCGTAACCACTTTGCTTGTTCTCGGAGGAAGAAACAAAAAAATAATAATAATAAACGGTGATTTCAATTATTTCAAAAGATTGATGTCAATACCGTTTGTTTGACATTATAGGGGCATGTCTCACAATTAAGCCCACAAAATAAACTAAACATGCTATAAGCTCCACAGTAATATTTACTTCATCTCCATAATCAGAATCTTTGGAAGAAAAAAAACCACGGAGAAATACATGAAATGAAAACAACTCGGCAGTTACTGTGAGATTGTGTACATCAAACTTGGAACAACCAAACCAATTAAAGCTAAGCCATCTCATACGTATACCTACATAGAATAACAGTGTATGGTCATCTTCTTTAGAATATTGCAATCAACACTTGGTTGAGACCGACCTGCAAAAACAACTGGGTTAAGTACAGAGATAGAGTTTATGGCAGTTCCAGAATTAAGACCTATGTTAATTTGTAACTGCCACCAAGTCAGTTCATAGTGCCAAATGCAGCTATCTGGCACACAGATATGACAAGCCAAAAGAAAAAAAGTATTAAAAAGAAAAAAGAGGCATGACATAAATGGGAACCTCAGCAGAAGGCATCAGATATGCACACAAGCAGATTGGCTCCATTACAATGTTCAAGAATGATGTAAATACTAGATAAAAGAGTTCTTATTCAAACCTCAGCAGGTTTCTCGGTTTCATTCCTGGACCTTCAATATCGTCTTGCACAATAGCATCAGTTGACTTATTCAAAGTTCCAGACAAAGACTCCGCAATTTCTTTTAGACCCTGCAAGAAAGTGGCATGACTTAAATATATTTTTGGATACATGAAAGAGTCTAAACTACTCTAAATTTATCCAATCTACGGGGAGGGGGACTCGAACTTGGGTGCAAGGGGTGGGATACAAGCAAGAGTCTAAACTACTCTAAACTAATCTAATCTATGGGGAAGGGTACTCGAACTTGGGTGCAAGGGGATGGGCCCCCTGCCCTGGCCAACTACCCTAACCCACGTTTGCAATTAAGTAGCAAATATTAAGGATTTAACTATCAAGATTCCAGTCGCTGAAATAATAGTATCTGAACTAATTTAAAAAACACATATTGCAAATGACATAGCATCAAATGGAATTACACCCTGAGAGAAATGTCATTATTAAAGACAGACAAACCTTAATATACAACATGTCCCAACCCACCCCCATATAAATCTAAGAAATTTTGTAGGGCATGGGAAAGAAATCACAGGCCTATGATTCTCAGTAGCCTTAAGCCTCCTGCTTGCATCTTGGAAAGAAAAAATTACTTGGGAATCGCTCTAAAGGAATCCCTATTTGACCTCTTTCCCTCCCCCAAATCTCATGGTGTAAAATTAACTGGAAACGAAGGGAATGCAAACCTAAAGCATAACGCTCCATCAATGCTTTACTAATTTTAGCATCTAATCGCAGTGTAATCTATAGGTTATTTTCTTTCTTTGTTCTGACAAACAATGGGCACAGATGCTTTAAAATTAATAAATGCGAAGACCCCTGTTCAATATTTCCAACTAGGATAATGTCACAACCAGAAGAAAAGAGATTCTTAGAAACAAACCATCAGACTCTGAGTTTCCGAATATGTCACTAAACGACCACGTGGATTCCCAGTAAGTTTAAGTTTCGTCTGCAAGTAGAAAAATTAATTAGAGCAGTGATCATATATACAAAAAAAAACACTACATATGAGACTATACTGAGGGTCTCAGTAAAAGGTAAAGAACAGAGTGAGATTAAATGATGGCAGGGCCTTATCTTTGACTATGACATGATCTTATTACTTACAGGTAACTTTGATACAATGAACATAATCTTTTCATTTTTCACAATATAAAAATATTATGAAAGTCGAAGAGTCAATAACACATTTAAATCCATACACTGACAGGTACAAACCTGCTGAGGCATTTCAACTTGTTTCCCCTCAACAAAGTTGACGAGGTAGAAAAGACCAAGATTTGAAACATCCTGCACGAGGCATTTACATCAGTAAAAACTTAAGCAGATAAATAAAGTGATGTGTGTGATCGAAATAAATGCAACAGCCACTGCAAGTACTCCAAAGCAAAGACACATCTTACTTACAAAAGTGTTACAGACTGGTGAAAGAACAGAGTCATATGCACATTAATTATGGCTTCTAATAAATACTACACTTTCTCATCAATTATTTATGGCTTCTCTATTAGAACAAAAATAAAGCTGTTTTACCTGCTTTTCTGAAATGGAACCTAGCTTGTAATCCTGCAAAAGGGAAAAGGAAGATAAGTTACTACAAATTCAAAGAAAAATTTGTCTGAGAGGGAGTGATGTAAAGGAAAATGAGTACATAAGGGGAAAGTAAAAAAACTGAGAGAGCACATGTAATGTAAAACTCTAGGAATTCCCAAAAATACCAAATTTGGCCTGCACCAATACACATTGAAGCAGAACTCACCAAACCAGTAAGCGCGCTTTGCAACTCAGTCACGGTAACGTAAAGTTCCTCAATACTTCCTTTCGTATCACCAACCTGTTTCACAAGTTGTAACCAAATTTAGAGATGATGCCGAAAATATATTTCGTATGCTACAAGACTCCATTTACATAAAATTGGAATGCAGGATTTTAAAATACTAAATTGCATACATTTAAGACATGGCACATCACATATGGATAGTGGATACCTAACCCACTGTGACATTCATCCTATTAGTTTGACTTTGATAATGTCACAAGTTTTTGCTTAGCCTCATCAAACTAGAAAATGGACAAGTATGTTTTTTTAATTTCAATTTACTAATTAAGAACTAAAAGCTCATAATATGCAGAAAAGGCCATACATTCTCCAGAATCGACTTTGAGATATCTTTCTGCTCCAGCAATTTATCATCCAAATTCTGGACTCTCTGTGTCAGGTGCTTCTTTGTGTTCTGTCCAGCATAAGAATGTTTAATACAGTCATTTAAATTGCTTATACAAATTCTATAAGTAATATTGATGGGTTCTGTAAGTCTATTTGATTTTGGGAACAATCATGGTCCCATAAACAGAAACTCAAACAAGTTTTTTTTTGGCATAGACAGCCAAAAAGAAACTTACAGCAATAGCCTCTGTCACACTCTCCAGATGTTTATGCAAGTTTGAAACAGCAGCAGTCATACTACGCTTCGTCACATACATAAGATCTGAGAATTTTAGACCCTAACCATTTGTGAAGAGCAAATATTAGATTATCAAAGAATAAAAACACTTTGCTTAAAGAAGAAAACAACTCACAGAACCAATGGATGAAATAATATAAACATAAATATATCATCTGGATACCTTCCACCACATGTAACCATAACCCAATGCCCCCAAGGTAGCTGCTGGCATTATTAGTGATGTCAAACCTATTAAAAAATATCAATGAAAAAAGATAACCAATTATAAAATGTTTCTATTGCATTATGAAATACATACGTGTAAGGAATAGAAGTTTTAGAACTTAACCAAAAAGAAAGGGCAGGACCATGCATTAATTTAGTGGTTATAAGCAAGAGGAAAAAGCACAAAGCATGCTAAGAATTCATTTGAACACATAAGAGAAAGTAACATACCAATTTGGCTGCCATTCCCATTCAGGACGGTTATCTGTCGTGACGAGCCAAGTTGCCGGACCTCAGCTGCCAGTCGGCGCACCTAAAAGAAAGTAACACAGGAAAATTGATATCCATTAGAAAAAACAAAAATTTAACACGATAAAGCATCCTTCGACACTAAATTTATAGCAGTTTTTCCAATACCTGTGATGCGATCGCATCAAAGTCACCTTCTGATTGTTCTCCGGTTCCATTCAACAAAGACTGCAAACAAAACAGAAATAAACACAAATCCATCCATTTTTTCAGCAACAAGACACAAGCTCCTAAATAAATAAACTATCTAACTGATCAAAACCCTAGTTTACTGAATGCAATAAAAAATTAAAAACTCATACAAAAATAATACCAAATAAAAATTTGCTACGAGCTCCACTAGCAAAGCAGAGTAAAAATTATGAAAATAGTACCTGAAGTTCACCGATCAAGTCAGATAATTTACCATTCTTAAGCAGGACGGTGCTAGTATACCCTGTACAGAGAAAACAATCACTCAGATCGAATACAGCTAAATACACAAGGAAACTCCAGTATGCAAGATGAAAGACGAGTGATTGGTACCTGCTCCAGCTAAGATCAGGATCTTGGAAAACCCTATTCCGCTTTGCATAGCCATGGCTGTGTTTGTTTGGACCAGAAACTCTAGGAGGGTGGGTAGGGAAGAGTGTGGATTTCGGGAAAGGAGGCTTGAGTCACGGAATTTTGGGGTAGGGCGCTCGGGGTGAAGACGACCTTTTCTAAGATGCGAAACGACGACGTATCAAGAAGTACGGGAGAACCGCCTTTGACTTTATTCCACCCTCCACGACGTCGTTTCAAAGCACTCCTTCCTTGCCTCTTTTTTTGTAACTTACTAATGACGATAAGATTGACCCCAAAAAAAAAACTAATTACGGAAGTGACATAAGCTGATAAATGACAAAATGAGCCCTCCGTGCGTGCTTTACTTGGCGCAATTTTAAAATTTTTTTTTTTTTGGGGTTAGAATCCTTGCCATATTAAGCTTAAACAAATTTAAAATTGATAATCATCAAGTATTCTTAAGCTTATACAAAATTAAAAATAATTACAAATGAGAGTTAAACTGGCAAAAATAATAGAACATATGAGTCAGACCAGCTAAAATAATAGCATATCTAAGTCAAATCAAACCAATTAGTCATAGTAGTGAGTCCATCTATCCCGTTGCACCTGAGTTTGATTGTTCATATTCATAACTAATTAATATTTTTTCACTTCTTTATGTTCTTTTGGTTTTTCTTTTTCATTGTCTTCTTTTGTATTATCGATTTTTATGGCGGGATGCCAGTTTAGACTTCAGACAGCTGATGCATAACCAATTTCATTTTTTGGATTTGTCTGGTAAGGCAGAAAATTGTTCCTTGGTTCAGATTGATGACCAATCTTTCAAGAAGATACAATTTTATTAGGACATGTCCTACTATTATGCCCATTTTGTTGGCACAACTTGCACTTGTATGCTCCTCTGCGACCAGAACTGTGAAAGCCTTTCTTTATATCAACACTAGACTTTACCCCTATCAGTTTAGGGCATGTCCTGCTATTATGGCCTCTTTGACCACATATCTTGCAATGGTGAAGTCTTCTAACTGCGCTTTTGTGGCTGCTCAACCTTGACTTTGGACAGGTTCTTCTGTTATGGCCTTTTTCCCCACAAACGCCACACACGAACTGCCTATTTATCAAAATACTTTTCAGTTCTGGACAGTAGTGTCTCCTATGCCCCTCACGTCCACAGTGTCTGCAATAAAATTTCACTCCTGTATCCCAGAAATGAAGCAGATCAAAGTCACGAGGAAGGAGGCAGTGTAAGGTGCAATCAAAGGGTCACATAACGTCACTAACAACGGATGGAAACGCATGGTATACAAGTTTAACTAAAGCTGTCCACAGCAGTAAACGTGCTATGAAGTATAAGAACTCACCCTTCATTGCAATGCTCCTTTTGCGACGGTTTTCTGGGTCACTAAAGAAAACTTTTAAAGCTTCAGAAGCACGCTTTCTTGCTGCAGCAGTTCCCTTGGCTTTCTGCGATGCATACAAAAAGATCATGTTGAAATTTTATTTCTAAGTTAGAAATGAAAGCTTCAACACAAATATCCTTTACCCTTCCACTTCACTTCTACATCCTAAATGAAATATCATTGATTAACTTTGTTTCATTTGTTATTTACCATACGAAAGGAAATAATAAAAAGAACAAAATATTGATTCCCTGTTCTGCTTCTTTTAAGTACTTCCTCAACCTTCCGTGCAAAAAGACAATCAAGAAGAGTAGGATTTGCGGAAGCCTTGACATTTCGGTTTGATGTTTTATCATAAGTTTTGAAAGCCCCTCGATGTAGAGACATTTTAAGTAATCTAATTAGCAACAAAGTTCCTTAGAATATATAAAACAATCACCCAAGATAGTCAATATTTTATCATATCAACAAAAATGAACAAAATCAAAGTTAAATATCCGAAGTTCCAAAAGAGTAATTAATTCCTGACCTTAATTGCAGCCACTCTTTGTGCATGAAGCATGGGATCACGATGGATGATTTTCATTCGCTTACTAAATAGACCAGTCTTGGCATTCAAACTCTGCAATCACCAAACTAGACAAAGAAGATTAATTCATGATAGGGCCACTAAATATTGATGTCCTTTCCTTTAGTAGAACACTTGAAGAAAAAATATACACAAATGCAAAACTGAGCTTCAAGACAACAAAACAATACTCCTGTCATGTTTTCTACATGCAACATGTCAGGTAAGGTTGAAGCAGACAACTAACTTTTAGAGACCGGCTGATCTTCAGTCCGACTTCAGGAGGTGGTGACTGGTATACTCGCTTTGATTTTTTCTTCACATCCAGCTTTATGTCTAAATTGTCAACTTCATCATCTTCCTTCATTTTGAGAGGAGAACTGCGAGGAGGAAAATAATTAATAAAGAAAAAATGGTCTAGGATCACTCTGCATCACCAGAGAAAATATGTTCGGCAGGTACAGGGAGACCTCACTTTAACCACATTGTTTGATGTTATAAGCCTTTTTCTGTGATTTTGAATAGCACATAGATTACTTATTTCAATGCACAAAAAGTAAAGTGTTCAAGGTACCTTCTAAGATACGTGTGTGGGTTTTAAAATATGTGTGTTTAAGAGCAAGTAAATATTTAGGTTTAAAATACCACTCAGAAAAGTAGGTGAAACATGGACGAGTTACTAGCTTGATCTGAAAATCTAAAGCAACAGTACATGAACAGATAAGAAAGGCAGTGGCTAACATTTTATAAATTAGATGGCATATACAAGGCAAGGAAAAATATAAAATTTGGAAATCTAACAAAGTGTGTAAGTTAAATTGTTAAAATAGGAAGGTTAAGAAGTTACATTGAGCGGGCTTTCTCCCATGGTCGTTCATCAATTGACTCTTCCCATATGACACAATCTCCCGAGCACTGACGACAAGTCATTATGCCCTGTTACCATAAGCAGAAGGTTAACAATTTAGAGTTGCCCTTCAAAATCAATGCCTTATTCCTTCGTAATAAATATGCATCATATTTACCATCTAAGGATCCCACAATCATCCAACCCAAATAAATTAAAGATATGAGGTAAAGGAAGAATAATGTTTGAAACAAGATTCAACAGAAATGAACCAATTTGGGCGGGTTGTGATATTTAAGCACAATACTCTTCTTATTATTAAGTGCACATGCTTCTCATGTTTTACTGATACACAATAAACAGGAAGGGTATATACCTTCCCAACACACTGTGAACAATCTGATCTGGACCTTTCTATACCACATTCTGAACAGGGAGTATAGCCCCTCCCTCGGCAACTTGGGCAAGGTAGCTCTCTGATATACTGCCCATTTGGACCGAACCAGGATCTTGGTTTGCGTGCACCCAAAGTAGCATTCCTAAAATTAATAAAGCTATATTAGGAAAACATGAGAAGCATAGATGCAGACAGAAAATCCAATAAAATCCAACCGCGAAAAATAAAATTCATCTAATGTATCAAAAAAAAGAGCATTGATGCAGATAGAAAATGCTAAAAACTGCAAAATCAAAGATTGAGTAGGTCACTGAAGAAGAAAGCAGGCAACTTTAACCGTTCGCACAGATGCTGCATATAATCTTTAGCTGAAAACAATGCCTAGTTGTACTTTAGCCCCCAATTAGCATATATTAGGCCAACAATATCCAAAACCCATGTACTATAAGCAATAATAAACGATGAAAATCCATGATTAAAAGAATTAAAAATGAAATGCTATACATAAACAAATGAAAGCTTAGGACTTCGAAAAGTGATAGACTCGCCTTGGCTTTAGATTGGCCTCGAGCCCGAACAAGTCCTCAGAATGATCATAACCCAACTGCCATTACAATCCCAAAATACCAACAATCAAACCAAATGCAATCAGATTTTCCACAAAAGTTAAGAGTTTGAGAGAGAGAGAGAGAGAGAGAGAGAGAGAGAGAGAGAGAGAGAGAAAGAGTGCCTGTGTTGCTTTGGGAGCTGAAACAGAGTCGTTGTTGGTTGAAGAGGAAGTGATTCTGGGCACGAAGCTGCTGCTACTACAAGCCCTTCTCTTTGAGTGAAGGAAGAGCAAGAAGCGCACGCTCTTCTCCCTCCATTGCGGCGCAAGTCCGAAGCAGCACAGCGACGACATTTGACATGAAAAAAGCTCAAGACTTTGCAGCCTTTGTTGCTATAGTACTGACATCTCACGGGTGGCTGAAAAAGAGACAAGGGGACGCGCCATTTCACTCCCGAGGTCCACGTGGCATGCGATGAGCCCATGAGTTAATGGGCTTGGGCCAAAACTTAAAAACAAAAAACGTCAGCGGTCGGTCCATATCTGGCCCGCCATCGATTAAAGCATAGGAGCCGGGAAAGACGGTGACAGAAACAGAGAGAGAGAGAGAGGAGTGTTAAGGATGCTGAGACTACACTCGCTATCTTCACCGGCGGTGGCTGCACAAAACCCTAAACAGTGCCTTGCTTCGGAGCTCTCAAGCAGAGCTAGGGTTTTCAGCACCAACAGCTTTGGCTTTGCTCCGAGTTTGAGCTCGTCGAGGAAGAGGCTCTCCTTGAAATGTCGCCAGTCTGAGTACTTCGACCAGCAGAGGGCCAGTACCGCCTCTGCCCCTAACAAACCGTCTCCTCCTGCTCCACAAACTCCCGCAGGAGGTACCTTTCTCTGTTCTTACTATTTTATCTGTTTGGTGTTGTAGAAAGTTGCTTCAAAATTGGATATAGTTAAGGAACTGTTAGGTTACTGATTTATGAGCAAATGACGAATGAGAAAGTTTACACCTTTTCCACTTGATTCAGTTCTGTATATCCATATGGCCTGCTTAGGTCCATGAAGTACAGGGTCGAATTCGAACATGTTAAACTTAATTTTCCCTGCCACCAAACAAGGGGTTTGAGTGGTTAAAGCTTGCAAAATGCTGGATTAATGTAAAGAGATTTAACTAGAATTTATTTGTTTTTGCTGTGATTAATAGATGTGTTGGTTTGGTTTGCCTGTGTAGGAACTGGGTTGCCGCCTAGGTTTTTTGTGGGTCACTCAATATACAAAGGAAAGGCAGCTCTTACCGTAGAGCCCAAAGCTCCGGAGTTCACAGCTTTAGATGTATGTTTGGTTTGACTGATGCTTCATTTTGTTTTTTGTAAGACTATGGTTCTTGGGCCATATTTGGACTTTTCAACATGAACTGTGATTATGTTGTGGAAGGTCTAATTGCTTGTTATTGTGATGGTCTGGTGTCTTGGGTAGTCAGGGGCATTCAAACTCTCCAGGGAAGGCTTTGTTCTACTTCAGTTTGCTCCAGCAGCAGGTGTTCGTGTATATGATTGGAGCAGAAAGCAGGTGATCCATGCTACTCTTGTTACTACGAATACTGAACAATGTATGGATTTACAAGAAATTTGAAAATTAAAAACTTTTAGTAAATGAAAATGGTCAAATGTTTACTTTGAATCACCTGTATTTTCAAATTGCGGGATCCTGTAACTTTGATTGTTCACTTGTCATTTCATAATACTTCTGTTAAAAAACATTGAGGTGTATGGTTACTACTTGCCATTAATAAAACTTTATGGTAACTGTGTGTGGTTACCACTTATCATAATTGGAATTATGATGATTGCTAACATATGCAAAGTGACAATTTGGTTTGTGTAGGTATTCTCACTATCAGTGACAGAAATCGGAAGCCTGGTTTGCCTTGGCTCGAAGGAGTCCATTGAATTCTTCCATGATCCTTTTAAGGGGAAAAGGTACCATGCTAATTCTCTCTACTTCAATGTTTAATGGAGAGTGGAAATTTGAACTCCTTCACTCTCCCTATTTTTGCCTTACCATGGATGTCTGTAAAACTGATGGTGTTGCCTGTGTTGTATTGTTTGTATAATGGATTTCTAATATCATTATTGAGATATCTAGACAACCAAAAAGGTTCAATTTTGTGATTCATTGTGACTGCAATAAGCTTGGTACCCTCACGATATGTGTCTGATGTCCATGTATGTAGATACACATGATCATATTTCCGTGCATCTTGTACATGTTTCAGTGAACCTGGTTAATTAGAAGATTAAATAATGTAAGTAATAAATTATGTAGAAAACTGTTTTGTTTTGCAGTGACGAAGGCAAGGTCAGGAAGGTGTTGAAGGTGGAGCCTCTTCCAGACGGATCTGGGCATTTCTTTAACCTCAGTAATCCACTTATTCCTTGAAAGCTTAGTGGTGAACATTACAATAATCTTCGCCTTATTATGCCATACTAAGTGATTTAATGCAGTGATTTTTTTCAATTTTCAATCAATGTTTTGAGTATGGTTATTTATTGTCCGTACGTTGATGCTTTAGACGAAATTTCCCATTTATTCCTCAAGCGATTTCAGTCATGACTAAACACCATTATGTTGCATGGTTAAACAATGGATATGCACATGGAAGAATTTAGGTGCCGTATGTAAGCCATTTACTTTACTTATTGTATGGTAGTCATGTTTTTAACGTATATTCTGTTTCTGTTATCATTATGGCATTGTTCAAGGTGTTCAAAACAAGCTTATCAACTTGGATGAGAGCGTTTATATTCCTATCACCAGAGCAGAGTTTGCAGTTCTCAAATCAGCTTTCAATGTATGATCTCTCTCCCCCTCTCTCACACATCCACCGACCCAAATTATTTCCTTGTATAGAAGATACATGGATTTCCTGAATTCTTACTGGTTAGGACTCATATCTTTCTGTTCTTTGCAGTTTATCCTGCCGTACATTTTAGGTTGGCATGCCTATGCAAACTCCATAAAACCAGAAGATTCGAGCCGTATGAATAACGCTAGTTCTAGATATGGAGGAGATTTTGAATGGAGCCGGTAGTGGACATTGAGGGAACTCTTAACTGCAAATGATGTTCTTTTGATCTTAATCATTTGTGTTGTATCTGTTCTGTTATTAAACGAGTCCTCAAATTTTGGCTATTCGTTATGGAAAATTTAGTGCAGATTGAAGAATGAAATGGTTGACCCTGTTCTTTTCTCCCATCCAATAGGCTTACATTTCATCTATCTTTTGAGTTCTGAGGGTCAATGCCCAAAACTTTATGGCATCATTTTTCATCGCCATATAGCCAAATATCGGTGACCCTGTTCTTTTTTCCCTCACAATTCTCATTTTTGCACGAGATTTTCATTTTAATTCTCATTTTAGAGTGGACCGACCCAAATTTATTTATTTTTATTTTTTTCCTTCTCTCTTTTAACAGCGGAAAGTTAAAATTTCCGAATTCTCATATTAACTTTTCAAATATTATTACCTTTATGTTAACTATGTGTTACAAGAGATGGTATTTTATGAATTTAAAATGTTAATCTCTCTCCCTCTCTATAGTTTAGACTATCGTTTGTACTAAAAAAAAATATTAAGCTAATTGCTAAGTTTTGCATTGCCAATTAATAAAAATTTTTGGATTCAACACATTGAAATGTCACAAATAAATTAGTAACGAATGAATGAATAATTAAACAATGGACACGTTTGTATCCATGAAGTTTCTTTGTATCTATGCAACATGTATGTTATAATTTCTAGCAGGAAATGGTTGGTACTTAGATATCTTATTAGTTGATATTCTAATAATTTTACCTATTGCCTGTATTCTTGTGCATGATCTAACCCGATTGAGTAATATATTGTTTTAAACTATTATACTGCTGCACAAAACGTCATGCAATTATTAATATTTCATTACACTAAGAAGACAAACTTCTTGGTCTGTTTTTATTTTAATCCTATGGCTAAACTATTTTATTTTTAAATATCTGCAAAAAAAAATTATTTATCATAAAATAATATTTGCAGAAATGCTTACAACCCAGGTTGCAAAGTGCAGTCGTCCCCTGCATTTTTAGTCCAACTGAAAAATACTTTCATATTCTAATTAACAAGTTTTTGTCATAATCATGTCCAAGGTTTTTAAAATTCATAAGAAGTTAAAATTCGACATTAATTAATTCAGTAACTTCCACATAACATGAGAATTTTTTATTATTTACTATTTAATTTTTAAATCTTTTTTTAACTATATGTGAGGGATTTGAGTATTTTAAAGATTTAATTTGTAATGCCATTTAATTAATAAATGATTCGATTCAATTATAATGGTTGGAAAAATTGTTGTATTTGAGCATTTGAAGGGCGTTGACTGGCATGAAAATATATAGACCAATTTCATCATATAATCTTAGCTTTGGCTTAAAGTAAACTTATGGAAGTTTGCTGGATTAGGATTTGTCTTTTTTTTAAATAAAAAAATAGAAATTCTATGATTGCATTTATAATTCAGCCAAAAAATCCACTAGCCACAAAGGGCCATTACAATATTATCGTAGTCTAACATCAAAATTAAGACAATCTGATGCGCATCCACTAACGATCACGCAGAATCGAAGAAACTCTGATATAAACATCCCAACTAAAATTGCAAAACTCATAATAATAAAAAAGATATAAAGCTTGAAAAAATCAAGACATATAACAATACAAATAAACACATATGAAATTGGTGGTCCTTAATTCAACACATAAAATTGCATTTAGCAAATTTCCACAACTAATCATATTATATTATACGTGAGGAGGTCAATCTATTAATTTATTAAATGCCTAGTTAGATAAGTTTAATTAGTTTTTGTTTAGACACTTGAATCAGCATCCATTGACCTAGGTTTATATAATAAAGACCAGTTGGTTTTTTTTTACTAAGAATCTTAATTATATACAAAAAGTTTTGAAAGGTTTTTTATAAGTGAGTGGCTTCCTAATCATGTGCCTGTGAACCATCAAACCGTTGGGTTGAGCTGTCAACATGTACAAAAACCCTTGACCCAAATTATAGTTGTTAATTTTCTTAGCTAGATTTTGTAAGCATGCTTATTAGAGTACTAAAACCGGATTATACGATAAGATCATTGCTTATGATGTGTAACAAGTTAGAATTAATTAAGTCTTCACCAATAGCCTATGATCTGGACGTTGAATTTGAACAAGTTGTTTAAGTTGATTTGCATCTGCTGATTGCTGAAATTAAAATCTGTATATATATTATGTATACTAGCTAAGACCAGCTGGCTGCTGAACATTAATTTCCTAACTTTTGTCCTTAGTTTTTACTTTTGTCTTATGCGAAAGATTATAGGATAGTATGGTAGTACGATCGTGTGATATAACTTGTCTATGTGTTATAATATAAATGGATATATTATATGTATTGATATTATTCTCTAAAAGTGAGAAATATCAATCATGTCGTCCACCCACATATGCAGTGGCGGATCCACAGAGGCGCAAGGAGGTGCAACTGCATTTCCCCTTGCCGGAAAAGCCATGGAAGAAGCTGGAAACTGCCCCTCTGCTGGTGTGCCCGCCATGTGCTCGTCCTAATGCCTCAAAGATGTTTTCTCATTTTGCTGCGCCAACAACACACAGCGCAATCTAATTTTTTTTTAAAGCTCTGGCCAAAACGACGTCGTTTTGGACTAGAGTTTAAAAATAAAAATAAAACATCGTAGTGAAGAAAAAGCCTTACCTTCTATGGAAGACGATCGTCCAATCCAAGTTTAGAAGCCTTAAACCCTTACTACCATCCACTGTTCAAATGTAATTACTAATTAATCAACTAGGAATTAGAATTTTGGATTCAGAGGGCTCGGTGTTCTCGCAGCAATCTCTGCACTAATGTGCTGATATCAAACAAATTTCTGAATAAAAAATACAAATATCTTGTTTTTACTTTTCTTGTTCAGCAAAGGCAAAGCAAACCCAACAACAACAACAAGGTCTAGTTTTGTTTTTCTTCTTCAATAGCAAAAGGCTCTTCGGATTTATTTATTTATTTATTTTAAGGCTTTTCGGATTTTTCTTTTAAGTCTACAAGGGGCACACTGTAATCTTTAAATGGTCTTTAGAGTTTTTCTAAATGTTATTTTTATTTTTATTTTTCTAATTTAGCTCTCTGTATTTGTATGATCAATAGCAAACTTAAGCAGAAAGTGACTGTGCGCGACGCGAGGTATGATCAATTATGATTTATTTATTTAATTGAGAATTGGATATGCATTTTGATTAGATTAATTGAGATTGATTTTTGATTGATTTTGATTAAATTAATTGGTATTGATTTTGGTTAGATTAAGAGCATTTGAAATAGTTTTTTTAAAGAGCTTTTATCCTTTTAAAAATTGCACCTCCGCTGAAAAATTTCTGGATCCGCCACTGCACATATGTATAAATTATACCACGTGACTATATATACTACTATGTACCATACTATTCTATAATTGCTGAAAGCTACAGGTTTGAACTATTCATAAGTCTTAATAATTCCACTAAATTTTCCTTAATTATCATTATCTACACGTAATGGTACTCTACGTTTCCAAAAAATTTCCTATAGATTAAGAGAAGAGTCTCAGGGTACCTTATTAAAATAATTATCTTTTAAATTTTTCTTGTGGCCGCCGGCCCACTTTTTAATTAATGAACCACTTAATTTATTTCACCCGATGATTTCAGTTTCATGCTCTAAGAATTGGCCGTATACCGTAGTGTACTCCCTCTCTCTCTCTCTCTCTCTCTCTCTCTCTCTCTCTATATATATATATATATATATTGCTCAAAGGCTTCAAGCAATTTACCTCCAAATAATTCGTCTATAATTAGAATTTGGAGGATATGAGATTGTGACAGTGCAGGGGGCGATGGATACATGACTAAGAAAATTTTACAGAGTTCGGTCGAATTAAGCTCTTTCTTTCACCAATTGACCTTACTGGGCAAGGCAATGTCTTTGTCAATTCAAATAATTTAAATTAATATATATATTTTTTACTATTCAAATGGAGTTGTAAAGGACTGATCTTTATATGCTCAAAGCTTATCTAAGTGATGCCAGTTACCATGAAGAATCAATATATTTTTTTAATTAACTATACTTTTATAACGAGTTAATGTATTTACAATAATATTACGCTATTACAATACAATTATTTATAACTAAGTAAGTATCAAACTTAACTCACCACAAATATATATATATATATATATATATCGTCATTCTCTAATTAAGTGAAAACAACTACTACTAAACCAAATATGAAATTAGTGAATTTGGTTAGCGATGTAATAAATGATATCATATGTGCACCTCCTAAAAAACAATATTGAAAAGATTAATTGGTTTGAACTTTCATCATATAGCAAGGACTTCTTCTTTTTCTTCTTTTTTTATTTTATTTTTTACAATAGGGACTTCAATATTTAAGTAAAGAAATAACTATAAGACAGAAAACAAAAATGGTTGAAGCTTCATGTATTTATGCTTCAACTTCAAGACATGTTCATCATTTATGTTAAAATGTCATTAATTCTTAATATCATATGCTCCAAGTTGACAACAATTTCTCTAAGTATATATACGACAACTGTGGCTTTCGAAAGGTCAGAATTAAGTTTCATTATTTTATTTTTTGGTTATAGAAATATGGTTTTAATTGATGCAACCCAAGTTATTGATGTTAATAATGATGGTGGCACGTTGCTGATTGGATATTTTTAATCAGGATTAGCTAAATTCATTAATTTATTTAATTTATTATACGATGACGAGGTTTTTCCCATTTTATTTTGTTTGTGTTAACGTACCTTTGTCGACCTCTATACATGCTCTTAGCAGTCACTAGTCATATATTCTGTAGAAAATAAATTTCAAAAACACAATTATTTCAATTTAAAGGGAAAAATACGTCCAAATAAGATAAAAATTATATATAAACAAGGATACAATAAGAAAAAATAAAATTATTGACACACAATTGAGCACG